ATGAGATGCTCATGTGAAAAAAACAAAAGAGGATGTATAGGAGGAGGATGAGGAAGGAGAAGAAAACGCAAATCAAAAATATAACAAAGAAAATGTCAGAGCCTTTTTAGAGCGACTGAACAGTCTTCTTTTGTCAAAATCTGCTTGTGCCGCTAGGCGTCGCAGTCTATCAGATGATCGGCAACTGAGCCAGGGCGCGCTCAGTCGCTTCATATGCCGTGATGTTATGAAGTCTCAAGTTATGCGTGACTCCTTCAATCCATCTTCTTCTTGGTCTTCCCCTGCCTCTTGTTGTTTCGATTTTCATGTTGTATGCTCTTGATGCTGGCATCGTTGGTTCCATTCTCATTAGGTGACCAAACCATTTCATTCTTTGCTTCTCAATAAATTTAACGATGGGTATGGTTCCAATGGTTCTTGTAATCACATCGTTTCTCACTCGATCTCTTCTGGTTTTATTCGCAGCCATTCTCAAACATCTCATTTCACAGGTGGTTAGTGTTTACAATGAGTGAGAGATGGCTGACCTGTTCTCGAGCCCTGATTGTTGTTACGTTTGATGGATTTTCTAATCTCATATATTGTTTCTAGAGCAGATTTTTGTGAACTCTTAAATCCACTGCCGATTTGCTGGACCTGACACAGATTCATCCTTAAGAGAACACTGGAAAACACGTAAATCACATGACTGAACAGTAAGGAGGCAAATAGATCACTACAGTTTGAGGAGAATGGCACTGCGAGGAATTACCAGGGGATCTGACCAACGCTCAACACTCAAGGGAAGGATGAGAGGGATATGCAATCAGACAGTTACTGGTACCATCAGAATTGGTACTCTTCGCTTGAAGCTGAAGATAGGGAAGGACCGCTTACGGGAGTGTCCTGAGTGCTGTAAAGTTGATTCCTAATTCAACAACACTCAATATTTAACAAAGAAAATAAGCATGGTAGATGTAAAATAAAAAAAATAAAAAACCACTTCCATCACTTAATAATGAAAATGAACTATTTTTGTAAAATACAAGCACAAATTGGCAACAGGGCAATGTATACAATAATGGCATCTTTTGTTGAATCACCTGGGCACATTTTTTAATAAAAAAAAAAATTTTTTGCAAATAACATAAAAACATGTTTTAGAAAGTATACAAATAGAACATATTTACATGATAGAACAGAAAACAGTTGCGTTTGTTATGAAAACAAATATAATGGTGGAGTTGAGTTGAATGATTCAAGAACCGACATCACAGCACTCATGACATTCTCATTAGCCCTCCGTTCCATCTTCAGCAGCCAGTGCAGAGTTCCAATACTAATTGTGCCAGTATCATTCTAATTAAACATTCGTCTTGCCTTTTCTCTGAGCCTCGAGCATCGGTTAAAACCCCTCGTCACTTCCCGCTGCATCAATCTCACCAGACTGCGGTGATCCATTTGCTCCTCTGAATTGTGCACGCTCTCCCACACCGCACTAACCTCATTCGCCTTATCATGAATTAATATTCAGCCAAGTTGTGTAGAGCCAGCCAGTCTGTCTGCCTCTTCATTTCCTAACACACCAGTGTATCCCGGAGAAAAAATCCATACAATACTCCTCGCCCGTGACCTCCTGGGTTTTTCTGGGAGGCAAGGTTTTTTTTTTTTCAAGTCCAGCTCCTTTTAGATTTGAATTTACGACCTTCGGATCTGCAGGTGAGCATCTAGATGCTGCACTCCAGAAGCTCCCACAAACTCCACAGCTCTAGCAAAAAATGCCCAGAAGATATTGGTACTTTTGAAACTCCTCGCTGGCTGCTGAAGAAGAGGACACAGCACATATGTTAATGTTTCAAGTGCTGCAAGGTCGGTTTTGTGACTTAACTCAGCTCAACTCCTCCAAGATTTCTTTAAAAAATTTAAAAAAAAACTGCACTCATGAATCAAATGAGGCAACCCATTAACTCGCTCGTGACCTTCAGAGCTCAAGGCCAATGTCTCAACCATTTAAACCTCCATTTTTTAACAAAATAAAGTGATCAAATGTTCAAAATTAACTTTTCAAAAATGTTGTGCATCGTAATTTATAACGAGATTCCTGATAGGACTAGACTTTTTATAAGTATAAGTTAAATGTAAATCTTTGTGCTAGAATATCAGTCCTCAACCTGTGGGTTGCGACCTTTTTTTTGGGTCAACTGACCCTTTCACAGGGGTCGCCTAAGACCTAAAGCACATATTTATTGAAGTTATGAAGTTGTAATGAAAATTATTATGGTTATAGCTCACCACAATATAAGAAACTGTATTATAGGGTCGCTGCATTAGGAAGGTTGAGAGCAACTGTGCTAGAATATAATAATTTAGTGAAGAGATTCCTGTCTGAGTTCTGGGACCCAATTTTGGGGGAGAACAGAACAGACCTACTGTGTCTTAACTCTTTCAGTTCCAAGGAACGCATTATATGTTTACAGGTTCTTACCTAGAAGCTCAAGGAACGCAAGATGCGCTAATTGTATGTCTCTCTTAACCATCCCTTGGGCCTCAGATGCTAAAACCTCAGGACTAAAAGAGTTAACATGCATGTCACAAAAAGTAACTAATTAATTTTTTTAAAATCAGATGTCTTTGGTCAAAAGGTGCAGAAATCACAGCCTAGCTGTAAACCACAACACAATGTGCCAACAACCATATTAGGGTGAATGCAGAAGAAGAAGAAGTTTAAGAACAGATTTTCAAAATTATTGTCACAAAAGGATAAGCTATTATGGATGAAACATCAAGTACCGGGTAGGTGTACTCTACTATGTCATGTGTTGTTGAGAATCACGGCCTATGATATGTCAATACCACATACAGCAATGTCTGTTTAACTACTGTGCTAGCTTAGCACGTAGAAAACTTTAGTGGCTACTTCTAAATTATTCTGAACAGGTCCAAGAAAGGATCTGACATGAGCTGATTGAGGGGTTTTCTCCACCAGGAAATAAAAGAATGAAGAAGGAGAGACAGGAAGAGGAGGAGGAGAATAAGCAAGAGAAGAGAAGGAGAAGGCAAAGCAGAAAAAGAAGAAGAAAAAAGAAGCAGCAGCAGAAGAGAAGAAGAAGTAAAAGAAGAAGAAAAAGAAGACAAAGAAAAAGAAGAAGAAGAAGAGAAAAAAAGAAGAACAAGAAGAAGAAGAAGAAGAAGAAGAAGAAGAAGAAAGAAGCAGCAGCAGCAGAAGAGCAGAAGAAGAAGAAGAAGAAGAAGAAGAAGAAGAAGAAGAAGAAGAAGAAGATGAAGAAGAAAAAGAAGAAGAAGAAGAAAAAGAAAAAGAAGCAACAGGAGGAGGAGAAGAAGAAGAAGTGCAAGAAGAATAAGAAGAAGCAGAAAAAGAAGAAGAAGAAGAATTTCGATAAGCAATATCTCTTCCTGTCCATATTTTCTCTATCACATATTTCCTGTTTCATACTGACCTTGTTGGTTGTCTATTAAGTCTACTGTTTTGCCCACTGATAATGACAAGTGAACACATATGTTTATATTTGTGTGCATATTTTCCTGTCCCCTCCACCGAGCTTTCTAATCATGGTTTGTTTTGTGTCTAGTCACTTCCATATTTTTAAAGATCAATCAGCACTCAATATGTGACTGTGGTCAAAATCCTGTCCATCACTTTTACTTTCCTTGACATTTCCTGGTGTCCGTTTTTGAAAATTTAGTGACAACCTACAAACTAGGTGGGAAAAGAGTAAAAGTACACAAAGAAATAAAACATATGAATGGTTTCAACAAATGGCATGAGTAGAACAAGAATACAGCCTGATCTATGATTCTGATGATTGTGTGAGATTGTCACCCAAGATCAGCTATGTTTAACACTGTGTCACATGATGATGGTGACAATGATGATGGTGATGATGATGATGATGGTGGTGGTGACAATGATGATGTTGATGATGGTGATGGTGACAATGATGATGAAGATGATAATGATGGTGACAATGGTGATGATGACAATATGATGATGGTGATGCTGATATGACAATGATGGTGGGGATGATGGCGACAATGATGATGGTGGTGATGATAATGATAGTGACAATGATAATGGTAATGATGGGGACACTGCTGGTGACAACGATGATGATGATGATAGCGACAATTATGATGGTGATGATAATGGCCTCTATACCCACAGCTTCCTTTGACTATAAGAAGAATGCAGTACATCTGTGGTGATCCCCTTTTTTACCCATCAGGTTTTCAGTAAACATAAGTCAGTTGGTAAAAAACTCATTTCATAACAGCGGTGTATCTAGCAAGACACCAGGCTTAAATTTTTAACAGACCAACGAGACTAGAAGAATGCTACTCCCTCCAAGACCAGACATTCTTTCCCTCTCCCTCACTTATTCTCTCTCTCATTCACTTGTGCGAAGGAAAAGAACAGCTTGTGAAAACATTTAAATTCCACTTCATGGCAATGGGCCAAAGGGCGAAAGCTTGTGCGCCGCTGGATCAATAACAACAACAACAACAGACCAACTGACAGTCACTTGTCGATGCTGTCAACACCATACGGGACACCTTGCTTCTCAGGACTTTATCTGGTATCCATTTTAGGCCCCCCCCCCCCCCCCCCCCCCCCTAATGAACATGCACACATACTTTTTTTTTTTTGGATGATCAAATATAAATCTAAAAATTGTCTGGGGTTGACTTAAAAACTGAGCCCACACAAGAAATGACACAAACTTTGCTTTCCCAGCTTTTGTCAGATGTTCTTCCCATCAAACGTTGTCTTCCCAGCTTTCGTCAGATGTTCTTCCCATCAAACTTTGTCCTCCCAGCTTTCATCAGATCTTCTCCCCATCAAATTTTCTCTTCCCAGCTTTCTTCAGATGTTCTTCCTATCAAACATTGTCTTCCCAGCTTTCGTCAGATGTTCTTCCCATCAAACTTTGTCCTCCCAGCTTTCATCAGATCTTCTCCCCATCAAACTTTGTCTTCCCAGCTTTCTTCAGATGTTCTTCCCCTCAAACTTCTGGACGTGAGAATAGAGGCTGGTGTTCTGTGGAACCGTCCAGCGACCGGTAACTGGAATCTGCAAAACTGACCTGGATAGACCCGTAGGATGTTGAATGTGCTGGCTGAGACTTCTGCTGGGGCTGATGTGTGTGACTACCAGATGTAAGAGAGGCAACGTTGGGAGGGGAGTTGTTTGCAGCTCGAGTGGCAGACCTCACTGGTGGTGAGGCTGCTGCGGATGAGGCTAATGCTGGGGCCTCAGGTACTTTGAAGCGTTTGTAGGACATCGCACAAAAGATCTGAAAACAAACAGTGTTTTATCAACATTTAAAAAAAAAATTTATCAAACAAAATATTTTATTCTCAAAATTGGAAACAGTTTAAAAGAAAAACACACACACTCAGAAAAAAGTGGCCTTCCTAACTCTGTCACCATGATACCACTTTAAAAGAAAAATGGATCATGACCCTGTGGGGATCCCCAACCTGAGTATTGCATGCAAATCAGTTTTACAGATCTGGCTTAGATGTGTGCAGAGCGTTGGCCCCTTGCCGCTCAGGAAGATACACTCCAACTGCAAGGGAAATGTTGATCATAACTGCACTGGCCAGGCTCCCAGCTGGGAACCTGTTTCTAGGATGATGATTGTGGAGAGATACAGATAGATCTTAACCAGTACCAGCCCAGGTCTTAGTGCAGCAGCTCTTCTCCCCGGTTACAATGACAACTTTCTGTGACTTACCAGTGAGAGTCCCTGCAGCGCCAGGAGTACACCCAGTAAAAGGTAAGGTTTACTGACGGCTGATGACCCCCATAATGGGGCCATTACTGTCCCGAGACCCACTATCCCTCGGCGCAAACCCTGACTCAAGCCTGCAGAAAAACAAAACAGAAAAACCAATTACGCGATTATCAATGAACATTTGATGAGGAGCAGACAAATGATTGCAGACATAATCACATGTAGAGGTAATCTTTTGATTTTAGGGGTGTTAATTTGAAACCCATTCGTGTGAGAGTAACTTCATACGTTGAACATGATCATGCCAGAGTTTTGTGATATAAAAGAGCACATGTTTATCATCATATGATGCATAGGCTCTGTTTCTGACCACTTAGAAATTGGCTGTGTTTATCCAAAATTTGTACAAAGAAGCTCAAAAAGTGGTGATACAGTTTCTTTCATCTGAAGGATGTCAAACAGTGGGTATTCATAGAAGAATGCAGGCAATGTACGTTCATGAATGTGTGTCGTAGACAACAGTGACAGCGGGGGAACAAATGTTTATGAAAGGGCATGAGTTCATGACAGATCTTTCAAGGCTCAGGTCAAGCACATATTCTTGCAACAGAAAAGGCCATTGCCAAAACTGATGCAGCAATAAAGTGAACTGTTCACGAAGCATATGTCTGCTAGCAAAAGCAATCATTGAGTCAACTAGGATAGTTCAAAAGGGTGTTCGTAAGAAACTGAAATACTGTAAGGTATGTTTACAGCGGGAGACTGATGATCAAAAGAAGAAATTTATGTGATGTGTTGGAACTACTTTTTGTGTTACAGAGTTTGGGGGTGATGCTTTTCTTTTCTGCACAGTGACATCTGATGAATAATTCTGTCACCACTTTGAGTCAAGCATCAAACAAGAGAACATGCTGGATCACCAAATGCCCATTCAAGTTAAGGTTTCCCGTTGTAAGGCACGGTTTAACCATGAATGGCGTTTGATAGCCAATATTAAAGAACCTGGTGTCAACCTTAACTGCACACACTACTTGGAAATACTAGACAAGTCTAAAATGGAGGACTAGGCATGACAGAATGTTAAGCTTCAAAGTTTTTTTTGCTTCCGACAGGGCTTTGCTAATACAGTTTTCATATATGGATGGTAGTTTATGGTTTCGCTGCCTAAGCTACTCAGTTTAGTGTTTGGTGCAGCCCTGTGAGCTAAGTTTTTTTCATGTGAAATGCCTTTTAACTGTGCAGCTGTATTCCATATTGCCGGTAGCCCGTTTACACGAGGGCTGGTGAAATACCTTATGTAATAACTGTGTGTGTATAGCCAGCTTATCATGCCCAATATTAACGACAAACTGCATTTCTGGCGTCGACTGTTGGCTTTGGCACCTCTAGCAACTGCTATTTGCATTTACTGCATGCGCATATTTCTTAACTGTGCCGGGACTAATTGTTTGTTTACCAGTTTTTCAAATGGAACAGTGAAGGACATTTCATTTGATTTTCACTGGCACAGGAACGGAGCAGGTATGGGGAAACCCGATTGTAGGGAAGTTGAAACCTGGACTAAGACTATACAAGCAGCAAAAAGCCATCAAGAATCAATAATGCAGCAAGTGTCCTCATGGTGTGATTTTGTTGCATGATAATGCTTGACTGAATGTTGTAAAAATTGGGCAGAAAGTGTTAGCACAGAAGAAGTGGGAAGTTTTGCAACATAGTCCGCCTATAGTCCTGATCTGTCACCATATGATTTTCATTTGTTCGAACCTCTAAAACGCTCCCAAGGGCAACAATTTCATGCAGATGGAGACGTACTAAATGTGGTAAACACTTGATTTATTGAGCAATCACAATCCTTTTCTAGTGAATGGTTATTCAATACCTACCTACACTATGCTCAATATTTATGGCAACTTTTTCTGACAACCCGTGATAAATAGTTCATTCAACATTAATGCTTTGGTTATTTTTGTCTACTGATGTTAGTTTCATGCTATTGTAATAAAGCCATTGGAATGGGTTTTAAATGAAAGCACTTTATATGTTGAAATAGAAAACTGAAAAGTGCGCAGATAACCCTGTGTTATGTTAAAAAGAAAAACTTGCACGTGAGTCGCCATGGCAGAGGGGCTAGAGGCTCGCCACGGATCGAAAGGCACAGGGAGACTGATAGAAAAGAGGCAGGTCAGTTTGACATCATGGCACGGAAGATCATCTGTGTCAGAATTGATTTAAAGTACATGAGACAGAAGGTTGTGAATAGACATGGCTAGCAACGCCACATGGCATGGACTATAAGCCATCATCACAGTCAACAAGAGAAAAAGAAATCAAGCTCGATGCGAACTCGATTTGTAGTTTATTAGTAGAAGAGAGGGAAGTCGCAGTGGCATTGGGAGCTAGGCGCCTGCCTGCAGATCAGAAGGTCATGGGTTTGCGCCCTGACTGAGCCGGATTTTTTTCCAAAAACAACCTTGACTCCCAGATCAATCCAGCCTTGAATTGGTACCAGGTGCAGTCCTGGGAAGTAAAGGCCGCCGGTGTGTTGCTGACCATATCGCCCACCAAGTGCCGATTGGTCTATAAAAATATAGGTCTAGCCCTATATTCCCAACAACCTAAAGGTGTGGAAAAGGGACCTTTACTTTTACTTACTTACTAGTAGAAGAGAACCAACACTGGTTTAAAAAACAAAACCAAAAACATTACCCTGAGTCTGTTTGCGAGTCAGTTTGGAATAGAGAGATGTGGCACACACAATCAAGAATGGCAAGCTCAGAACATCCAGGAACACTGCGACGGCAAATATTGGAATGTTGTGACTTCTGTTTCCTGGATAGAGAAAACAAAACACAATTAATACTCATGTAGCTTGGTTATATTTTTTTTTGCAAGGGACTCTTTATCTCTGTGTATGTGTGTGGGTGTGTATATGTATGTGTGTGGGTGTGTATTTGTATGTCTGTGGGTGTGTGTGGATGCATATTGTGTGGGTATGTATGTGTGGATATTTATGTGTGAGTATTTATGTGTGGTTGGTGGCCGGGGGATGGGGGGAGGGGGGTGTTAGTGTTTTCACTGGAACTACTACTTCTGTATTCACCCTTAAAAGGGTTGTTGAGAAGTTGTGGTTCACAGCTAGGCTGCAATATCTATACCTTTCAGCCCAACACATCCACTTTCAGCAAACCTCTAATTAGTCGCCCTAATCTTCTTAGGGAGGCATTGAGTCTATTCTTTCTTTTCTCCAAAACGAGGGTCCCACGACCCACACTGGGATTCAAGAGAACAACATCCTGATATTGAAATCTGCCATGCAGTTCTCCCCAATATACTAGTCCTTTATCTCTTAAAGAGGTATAGACCTCAACCAACTAAAGTCATCTTTTGTGATCACATGCAGCTCACCCCCCATATCCTTCCAATATTTGTCACTTCTCTGTCTAATTCTGTCTAACTCTGTCTAATTCTGTTCTCAATGAGTATTGGTCAGTCTTTATTTCTATGACCCTGTGGGTTTCAGTGCAGAAACTTGTGTCTAGGATTCATCTGCTTTTTCTTTTCGTGCTTTCTAATCAAGGCTTTGGTTGAAATGTCTGGATATTACTATGTCCCCCTTCCTGTTAAAGTCACGCCTTTTTGTCACTATTATTATCAAGTTTCCTCAAGCTGTCTTATCATATGCCAGCATCTTCTCCTCAACTTTTGATTCATTCACAATAAAATTGGATATTGTAAAAATTTAAACAACACCAAAGAAAGTTCATTTATACTTTTATCTGGTCATTCATTCAGACAACTACTCTTTCATTTATCAACAATGAACTGCATTTCTAGTGCCGACTGTCTATGCTGATACTTCTGATGGCTGCCTTATGCATTAAATGTGTGTGTGTATGCTACTGGCTTTGCCAAGACTGCTGTCTACATAAATTTTTCCACAAGGAACACTGATAGATATTCTGTGTGGTTTTTCCCTGGCACGGTAATGGAGCAACTGTAGGTGACCAGTTAGCTGTGAAGTCGGAACTGCGATCACTTGAACCTGTGTCACCTAGGTAAAAAAATATGAACAGTTTATAAACAGCAATAGGTTAGATGCGTATCCTTTACAGGACTTTACCAACCCCAACAGCTCCTGGCTGTTGTGTGGTTTTTCTAGGCAAATTTACGTCCAGTAGTTTGCCATTGCATTATGGAAGGTCGGTCCCCTGATACCACTGTAGAAACCAACACAAGGCGCATGGCCCGCAGCTGGGATCGAACCCGGCACCCCAGCATTACGAAGCGTTCGCATCGACTTAGCCCCAGAGCCAACAATAACCAGCAATATTAAATAGAAAAAACAGCAACAATGAAACTGCTCACCTGGTGGAGGTCGTGACAGTGACCAAAGTAATAAAACGGCTGCAAACAAAGATCTTTTTTCGCGTATCCTTTCTCAGTTACTCAATGAGTGTGCACAGGAAGACAAAGAAGGGCTGGATCCAAAGACAGTGATCTACAGCGGTCGAGTTTGACACATATCAGTTTCATATTTGTGCCAGGGCCAATAGGTGTGAAAGGAAATGAGCAAGCTGATTGGCTTGCAGGTAAGGATACTGTGGAGGGCAGACAGGCAATGGACAATGCTGGTATTCTGAATACTCTATGAAAAGATGTTTGTGAGAACCAAGTGATGATTGTGAATCTGCAACCATGACCAGACTGCAAAAATAAGATGTTGAGAGAGGTGTGACCAAACAAAGAGCAATATGCAGGAAACCAAAGAAGAATAAGAAACCAGAACTGGACTGGTGTCATGAGCGGCTACACGCTGGATTTACTAAGGAGGGGGATCCGAGGACTTTTGGACTGAAAGGTTCGACGTGCAATGAGGATAATCTGTCAACTAACTAAAAAACTTACTAACCTGGTGGAGCATTTGGCAAAAAACAGATAAGCCAAACATTTGAAGACAAAATCACCACAGCACCAAACATCATCATGACTCTGTCAGACAGTCGACTGCTCAGTTTTGATACCAGCAAAAAGCAAATGATGATCTAAAAAATGGAAAATCAAGAAATGGGAAGATATAAATGTCAGTCTTAATGTAAAGAAATTAATTTAAATGCTCTACACATAGCCTTGCAAATGTGGTTAGTTAGTTAGTTGCGTATACTTTACAGGACATTGCAGAACCAACAGCAGCATTTTTTTTAGCTGTAGTGGTTTTTCTAGGCAAATTTACGTCCAGCAGTTTGCCATTGCTTTCTGGACAGTCGGCTTCTCGATACCACTGACAAAACCAGTACAAGGCCAGCAGCTAGGATTTAACCCAGCACCCCAGCATTACGAAGCGCACTCGAAATGCCTACGCCACAGACGCCAACGCAAATGTGGTAGAGCTGTGTAAATGTGGTACATTTGTGTAAATGCAGTTTCAGCTGTGTAAATATGATAACACATATGTAAATGCAGTGCAGCTGTGCCGATATGGTATAACAGTAATTATGGTACAGCCGTGTAAATGCAGCATATAGCTGCGAATTGAATCAAATCAAATTATTGTGATCTAGCTGTGTAAAAGGGTACAGCTGTGTAAACATGGTACAGCTGTGTAAACATGGTATAGCTGTGTAAATGCGGTCTAGCTGTGTAAATATGATTTCGCTGTATAAACACGAACACTTGCAAAACACAGCTTTAATAAAGGTAATGACAGCTAGTACCTTTGGGATGTGACAAAGTTAGACTTTCACGTATTCTTCTTCTTCTGTGTTCATCCTTGAAAAAGCAGCTGACATGTTGTATTGTGGTTTACAGCAAGACTGAAAACTCTATGGAACTCTATTTTATAAGGCTGGGTTGACCCCAGAGCCGTACTATCAGCAAGTCTGAAAACTCTATGGTACTCTATTTTATAAGGCTGGGTTGACCCCAGAGCCGTACTATCAGCAAGACTGAAAACTCTATGGAACTCTATTTTATAAGGCTGGGTTGACCCCAGAGCCGTACTATCAGCAAGACTGAAAACTCTATGGAACTCTATTTTATAAGGCTGGGTTTACCCCAGAGCCGTACTATCATCAAGACTGAAAACTCTATGGAACTCTATTTTATAAGGCTGGGTTGACCCCAGAGCCGTACTATCAGCAAGACTGAAAACTCTACGGTACTCTATTTTATAAGGCTGGGTTGACCCCAGAGCCGTACTATCAGCAAGACTGAAAACTCTATGGTACTCTATTTTATAAAGCGGGGTTGACCCCAGAGCCGTACTATCAGCAAGACTGAAAACTCTACGGTACTCTATTTTATAAGGGCTGGGTTGACCCCAGAGACGTACTATCAGCAAGACTGAAAACTCTACGGTACTCTATTTTATAAGGGCTGGGTTGACCCCAGAGCCGTACTATCAGCAAGACTGAAAACTCTACGGTACTCTATTTTATAAGGGCTGGGTTGACCCCAGAGCCGTACTATCAGAAAGAATAAACCTGCCAGCACAGGGGGTCTGAATCCACATCCTTCTTCTCTTCTCCCAGTCTTCTTTCTTTTGCTTCTTTCTTACTGCTTTTTGCAAAGCGTTGCAGAGAGGAATTATATATAGTTTCCTGTCTTCTGCTAGTTGTGTAGCTTATGTTAATGTGATATTGTGCTTTTGTAATGTTTCTTTTACTCCCTCCACTCCCCCGTGTATGGCCCCATTATAGGGAAAACAAGAATAGACCCACTGCCTCCCCAAAAAGCATGTTGTAAGAGTCAACTAACTGGGGGTCTTCCTTTGAAGTCAGAGTGCATCTGCCTGAGAGGCAAGGAACCAGCAATCTGCATACAAATAAGTAAGATCTGTAAAACAGATGCACACGCAAAACTCAGGTCCTGGAACAAAGCCAAAGTCCAGAAATGGATGAACAACCAGGTCTTTCCACTGGAGTTTATAGCCGGTGAACGCAAACAACAACAACAACAGCCTCTCCACTCACTCTTCTCTTGGTCGACTTAATGTTTTGTAGCCTGCCTTTCTCAAGTAGTAAGCTCTAGCAGCTGGCTGATTTTGTTCTGCTCTGAGCAGATGACCAAACCATTTCATTCTTTGATGTTCTGTGTTACGGGCAATGTGCCTACTATTGTTCTTAATTCTTCATTGGTGACTCTCTTCTTCTGGTTACTTCATCAAAGTGTCAGAGAAGATGTAAGAACTTTCTTTGTGATCTTTCTAATGCATTATGTCGATTCTTGAATCAACTCAGCTCGACTCATATCAACTCTGTTATAATTTTGCACTCATTACCAGACCACCAAGAAATGACTGCCTGAACGTCAAAACCCTGGGTTCTCATGTCTGTATTTCTGTCACGAGTAAAATCAAACATCCTAACCTGCACAGTTATAGACTTTCCCTGTTCTACTCCACCCTAATAAATGTTAAATACAGGCAGTACTGATACTGTGTCCCCCATCCCCCCCCCCCCCTTTTTTTTTTAACCCTTTTTTTTTCAAACACAAAAAAAAAAAAATTTAAACAATAAAAACAGGTCTTATATTAATTTTTGCTTAAACAGATGCACTAGGATTTTTTTCAGGGGATCTTATTTTTTTTTAGATGCAAAAGTCTGCAGTTATTCATGTTCAAAATTCTAAATTTATTCAAATACAGGCACGTCATCTTCTTCTGGAACATCATCATAACTCTCTAGATCCTGAATTCTGGTCTGAATCTCTTGTAACTCCATTTTTTTGTAGAACCACTGTCCCCAGTCTCTCAGTTTAGCTGACGATCTTAACCAGGGCTTATTTTTATGGGTAGATGGGTACAGCTTAGATTAAAAGCATCCTGAAAATTGTGCTATGGCTTGTTTTCTTAGATAGTTGAGATGAGTTGAATTGTTTCAAGAACTGACATCACAGCCCTCAAGGTATTCATGCTCCGTCATCATCTATAGCAGCCAGCGCAGAGTTCCAATACTGAGGGTACAGGTCAAAATCTGGTTATATGTCCATCTTGCCTTTCCTCTGAGTGTAGTGAGCCGGCTAGACCCTCTGGGTACACTAAGGTGCCTCATTCTCTCCAGGCCATAATAATCTTGTTTCTTTTTTTAAAAAATATTTTTTATAGATATTCTTAGGTAAACAGTCGTGCCTTTTCTAGATTAGTCTCTTGGCAGGCAGGTGCTCTGTCCACGATTCTAATGCAGCTCCTCTCTTGTCATGTTAAGCCGTGCTATCTTTTTCTTCACATTCACAAGCTGTGAACTCCTTTAGAAAGTCCTGGTGGTTTGTCCACTTATGGATTTTGGTCTTCTTCCAGGACTTGAGTGTTGCGTGCACATATGTTCTACAGATCTGGCTTATTTGTTGCAGTTTGTCGGTTCCTTGCTTCTCAGGCAGATGCACCCTGGCCTCCAAGGAATTCTAACTAATCTACTGGGAAGGCTAACACAGGCAAAAAAAATGCCTGAAGCAGTCGAACATGTTAGCCAAAAGGCCCAAATATCTCAGCCATGCTGTAAATAGGCAATTATGTCCTTGGATTAACAGAGAAAAAGAAAAAGAAGAAGAAAAAATAAGTAAAAAATGTGGAAAACCCACCACAACGCCACAAGCACAGTAGAGGATACTGTTCTCCAGCTCATCAAAGTCTAAGTACTTTTGTGTCAGTGGTAGCACCATCGTCTGAAAGTGGAAACAAACTCAGTGGACAACTTTACCTTCACATAACACTATAAAGAAGTCACATGCCCCACACATGTATGGACGTACTCACTTACACACAAATACTTCTTTAAATCTAACTGAACGTCTGTGATTAATTTAAAATTATATTGTATACAATAATATACTGTTGGCCATTCAAATTTTTATTTAATAAACAGAAACCTATTTTTTATTCTCTCGCCTTCTCAGAGAATTAATTGAAACTGTATTCTTGTTTCTTTTTATCTTCTCTAATACTGTTGTTGTGGCGTCCGTGGCTAAGGCGTTGCGAATCCGACTCGTAAGCCAGCATACCGCGATCGAAACCCACTGCAGGCTGCGTGGATTTTTGTCGTGGTATGGGACGTCGCAGGTCGACCCAGCCTAAAATGGGTACCAGGATGGGCTGTCCTGGGAAAGTAAAGACAGCCGGCGTAATGCTGACCACATTACCCACAGAGTGCTGATGGTCTGTAAAAATATGGGACGCTCTGCCCATATGCCCGATGCGCGGAAAGGCGTAAAAAGGGAACTTTACTTTTTTTTAACTTTAATACTATTGTTGCTGAACTGAGGCATGACAAGCAGGATGTTGTAAGGGTCCTCTAGGAGCGAGTGAAAAGAGTGAAAACACAAAGAGATAATCAGTTTGAGGAGAACGGTGCTGCGAGACGTGACGAGGGGAAATCTAAACGACACTTAACACAGGGGAAAGACAAAACAGATGAACGATCAGAACATAATGGCCTGAGGAAAATAGTGCTGCGAGTAGGGATGGGGGGGAGTTCTGGCCGATGCTAAACACAGGGGAAAGGCGAGACAGATAAATGATCAGATCATAATGGTCTGAGGATAATATTACTGCGAAAAGTGACGGGGTGGGGAAGGGGGGGGGGGTCTGGTCGATGCTAAACACAGGGGAAAGGCAACCCTTTTACTGGCTTTTGCCATTCCCTGCCTCATGGGCAGATGTACTCCGACTTGGAGGGAGTCTATTATAGTGAGACTGGCTTTCTCTCAGACGTCTATTATCTATAGCTTGCTGCAAAACAAAATGTTGGTAAAAATACTGTATTGAATAGCTCTCTTTAACTTTCAACTGTGTATTAAAGGCTCAAGATCACCCAGGTCTTACCAGGGCCCATAAATGAGCCAAACAATAATAACACTTAAACCTACCAAACATGTCACAAAAGGCAACTAAAAACGACTGGCGTAACACCATCTTATTGAAAAGTGTAGCTGAAAAATGTTGCCAGTCATGATTATGTCTGCCACAGATCTGAAGTGATTTGGTTGCAACCTTCCCAAATGCAGGCAGCTATTTTTAACAAAAGATGAATAAAGGAAGTAGCAGAAAAAGAAGAAGAAGACACATCAGCGGAAAAAGAAAAAGAAGATGATGATGAAGAAGGAGGAGGAGGAGGAGTAGGAAAAGAAGAAGAAGAAGAAGAGGATGATGATGAAGGAGGAGGAGGAGAAGGAGGAGGAGAAGGAGGAGAAGAAGAAGAAGAAGAGGAAGAAGAAGAAGAAGAAGAAGAGGAGAAAGAAGAACAAGAAGAAGAGAAAGAAGAAGAAAAAGAAGAAATAGAAGAAGAAAAAGAAGAAGAAGAAGAAGAAGATGATGATGATGATGATGAAGAAGCAGGACGTGGAGGAGGATGGGAGGAAAAAGAATAAGGGAAATGTTGGAGTTGGTGACACCATCCTGTGAAAAGCACTCCTCTCAAAAGCCAATAACCAGCTCTAACAAGACTTGGCAAGACTTTGATAATGGAATATGTTCCATCGAAAGCTAAGAGCCAGAAGAAGACGATGATCGGACACAGAATGCAGTAATGAAACAGAGCTTCAGTCCTATAAGAGTCTGCATGATTAGATGAGATGATGATTATCCTAAAGGGGAAAAAGAAATGAAGCTTAAGAAAAGTGACCGATCATTGACAGGCTTTGATAAGGCAGACATATGGTGCTAAGTCCATATTTTAATAGACCAACTGGCACCTGATGGAAGATGCAATCAACACCATGTCAGGTGAACAATCAGATTATCATGGTCTGAGGATAATAGTGCTGCGAGAAGTGAAGGGGAGTTCTGGCCGATGCTAAACACAGGGGAAAGGCGAGACAGATAAATGATCAGATCATAATGGTCTGAGGATAATATTACTGCGAAAAGTGACGGGGTGGGGAAAGGAGGGGGGGGGGGGGGTCTGGTCGATGCTAAACACAGGGGAAAGGCAACCGTTTTACTGGCTTTTGCCATTCCCTGCCTCATGGGCAGATGTACTCCGACTTGGAGGGAGTCTATTATAGTGAGACTGGCTTTCTCTCAGACGTCTATTATCTATAGCTTGCTGCAAAACAAAATGTTGGTAAAAATACTGTATTGAATAGCTCTCTTTAACTTTCAATAACTGTGTATTAAAGGCTCAAGATCACCCAGGTCTTACCAGGGCCCATAAATGAGCCAAACAATAATAACACTTAAACCTACCAAACATGTCACAAAAGGCAACTAAAGAAGAAGAAGAAGAGGAAGAAGAAGAAGAAGAAGAAGAGGAGAAAGAAGAACAAGAAGAAGAGAAAGAAGAAGAAAAAGAAGAAATAGAAGAAGAAAAAGAAGAAGAAGAAGATGATGATGATGATGATGATGATGAAGCAGGACGTGGAGGAGGATGGGAGGAAAAAGAATAAGGGAAATGTTGGAGTTGGTAACACCATCCTGTGAAAAGCACTCCTCTCAAAAGCCAATAACCAGCTCTAACAAGACTTGGCAAGACTTTGATAATGGAATATGTTCCATCGAAAGCTAAGAGCCAGAAGAAGACGATGATCGGACACAGAATGCAGTAATGAAACAGAGCTTCAGTCCTATAAGAGTCTGCATGATTAGATGAGATGATGATTATCCTAAAGGGGAAAAAGAAATGAAGCTTAAGAAAAGTGACCGATCATTGACAGGCTTTGATAAGGCAGACATATGGTGCTAGGTCCATATTTTAATAGACCAACTGGCACCTGATGGAAGATGCAATCAACACCATTTCTACCATCTATGCCTCCAAAGCATTTCCTGATACCCAGTTTAGGCTGGGTCAATTGGGGAGCCAAAGAGGAGTGGTTAACCAACACAGAACTGGTGTTTTCAGTAGCCAATCGCTGAGGAAGATACTTCTTCACATTCATCTGCTGTAAACAGCAGAGCAAAGTTCTGGTTGTTCGTCCACATTTGGATTTTAGTCTTGTTCTAGAATTTGAGTGTTGTGTGCACATCTTTTTTACACATCTGACTTACTATCTTTGGTCAGACTGCTGGTTCCTTGCCTCTCAGGGAGATGCACTCCGACTTTGAAGAAAGTCCCAATTAGTCAACTCCTACGACATACTTGTTGGAGAGGCAATGGGTCTATTCTTGTTTTCCCCCATAATCGGGCCCCGGAACCCCAATGGGAGAGAAAATACTAAAGATGGGATCTGAGTACTTAGGGATTTGTCCAGTTTGCTAGGAGGACGATCAGTCGTTTAACTGACCATGATGTTACAGCCCATCAACATCATCGGGTGCCTTTTCGACTGGCTTTCCTACAATAGTGTTAACATGACCTAATCCATTTAAAGTTATTGAGTCGACTAACTGGGGGCCGCTTTTGAAGTCGGAGTGCAGCTGCCAGAGAGGCAAAAAACCAACAATCTGCATACAGATAAGTCAGATCTGTAAAACAGAAGCACAGGCAAAACTCATGTCCGGGAACTAAGCAGGACAAACAACCAGGTCTTTCCACTGAAGTTTATAGCCGGTGAACGCAAACAGCAGCAACTAACTGTAAATCTTCTTCTTCTTCTTGAAATAGATTATCTATATCTGCCATGTTGTCTCTAGTATGAACATCACTGTCTGTTGTAATTCAGTCCCATACAGTTTTGCTTGCATCGGTGTTTCTCTTAGTCAAAAGTTTTGGTGCTTTATCAATATCCTACCCCAAACAGGGAAAATCCACAGGTCACAGGACAGTCTAATAATTCAGGGGGTGACAGCTGGATGCAGTTGTGGGACTAGGCTAAATGCAGTCGTGTGACCTAGGCTGCACTCTCTAGTGGAACACAGTTGGGTTGGGTTTAGGGCAAGTTCTATATGTTTTGGGGTCGTTAAAAGCCGGGAAACCCAGTCTTACCACCCTCTAAAATGTTGGACTGTCCCGTTGTGACGTCATCTGGGGAAGGATATTAATAAAGCACCAAAGTTTGTAACAGTAACTAACATGATTCGAATATTTTAAATTAGACTCACAACAAAGCCAACCAACTATGCTACATTTACAAACCTCGGAGTAGCCACACAACAGCTCACCTCAACACACATCTGAGAAAACATAGCACAGAAGAGCAGCCAAATGATAGCAATGATTTCATCTCGAATGTATTCTGGTGAATAAACAAAAACAATACATTAACTCTTGCAGTCTCGGAAAATTATATTACAGCAGAGGCCTGTCCAAAGTAGAAAACAGTCATGAAAAAATACATGAGTGCATGACCTTTAAAGATGCTAAATAACAGAGAAAGTGACCACTTGACAAGCTCAAATTTGTAAGTTCTAACCAAATGTTTAAAAAAAAATTAATTTTAAATAAAAAATATTGCAGAACACATCAATTGACAGATTGGACTCCATGGGAAAAGTCTACGACACAAGTGCATTGATTGGAACTGACAGTCAACTCTGTCCAGAAGGGATAATGGTAGAATGCTTACGTCTGGTACTGAGCAAAAGAATAAATCTTATGTTCAACATTTTCTCATTCAATTGTTTTCAAATGCACTTAAAATTCGTTCCATGTCTTCAGTGGTTCTCCAACTGTCCCTGGCATATGGTAAAACTGAAACAACTTTAGAATTGAAAATATATAACTTGGTTTTGAAACTATATTATTTAGATTTCCATAATTTGTTCATGCTTTTGAGAGCTGCTGATGCCTTGTCAATGTATATTATAATTTATTTTCTTTGTATTTCCTTTACTATCAAAATTACTACCTAAATAAATAAATTGATCTGTTACTTTAATATTTTTTTGTTTACAGTGTTACATCTGTTTGATTTGTTGTTGGTGTCATAACTTATTGGTAGTCCAACCTTTGATGCTGTACTTGCTAAATCTGTCTTTCTGTGCATGTCATTGCTGTTTTTACTTAGCAGAACAATATCATCAGCAAAATCAAGATCTTCCATCTGTGTGTTCTCCACCCAGTCCATGCCAGTGTTTCCAAGACATGTGTTCTCCACCCAGTCAATGCCAGTGTTTCCAAGACATGTTTTCATCACCCAGTCAATGCCAGTGTTTCCAAGACATGTTTTCATCACCCAGTCAATGCCAGTGTTTCCAAGACATGTGTTCTCCACCCAGTCAATGCCAGTGTTTCCAAGACATGTTTTCATCACCCAGTCAATGCCAGTGTTTCCAAGACATGTTTTCATCACCCAGTCAATGCCGGTGTTTCCAAGACATGTTTTCATCACCCAGTCAATGCCAGTGTTTCCAAGACATGTTTTCATCACCCAGTCAATGCCAGTGTTTCCAAGACATGTTTTCATCACCCAGTCAATGCCAGTGTTTCCAAGACATGTTTTCATCACCCAGTCGATGCCAGTGTTTCCAAGACATGTGTTCTCCACCCAGTCAATGCCAGTGTTTCCAAGACATGTTTTCATCACCCAGTCAATGCCAGTGTTTCCAAGACATGTTTTCATCACCCAGTCAATGCCAGTGTTTCCAAGACATGTTTTCATCACCCAGTCAATGCCAGTGTTTCCAAGACATGTTTTCATCACCCAGTCAATGCCGGTGTTTCCAAGACATGTTTTCATCACCCAGTCAATGCCAGTGTTTCCAAGACATGTTTTCATCACCCAGTCAATGCCAGTGTTTCCAAGACATGTTTTCATCACCCAGTCAATGCCAGTGTTTCCAAGACATGTTTTCATCACCCAGTCGATGCCAGTGTTTCCAAGACATGTGTTCTCCACCCAGTCAATGCCAGTGTTTCCAAGACATGTTTTCATCACCCAGTCAATGCCAGTGTTTCCAAGACATGTTTTCATCACCCCAGTCAATGCCAGTGTTTCCAAGACATGTTTTCATCACCCAGTCAATGCCAGTGTTTCCAAGACATGTGTTCTCCACCCAGTCAATGCCAGTGTTTCCAAGACATGTTTTCATCACCCAGTCGATGCCAGTGTTTCCAAGACATGTTTTCATCACCCAGTCAATGCCAGTGTTTCCAAGACATGTTTTCATCACCCAGTCAATGCCGGTGTTTCCAAGACATGTGTTCTCCACCCAGTCAATGCCAGTGTTTCCAAGACATGTTTTCATCACCCAGTCAATGCCAGTGTTTCCAAGACATGTGTTCTCCACCCAGTCAATGCCAGTGTTTCCAAGACATGTTTTCATCACCCAGTCAATGCCAGTGTTTCCAAGACATGTGTTCTCCACCCAGTCAATGCCAGTGTTTCCAAGACATGTTTTCATCACCCAGTCAATGCCAGTGTTTCCAAGACATGTTTTCATCACCCAGTCAATGCCAGTGTTTCCAAGACATGTTTTCATCACCCAGTCAATGCCAGTGTTTCCAAGACATGTGTTCTCCACCCAGTCAATGCCAGTGTTTCCAAGACATGTTTTCATCACCCAGTCAATGCCAGTGTTTCCAAGACATGTTTTCATCACCCAGTCAATGCCAGTAATTCCAAGACATGTTTTCATCACCCAGTCAATGCCAGTGTTTCCAAGACATGTTTTCATCACCCAGTCAATGCCAGTGTTTCCAAGACATGTTTTCATCACCCAGTCAATGCCAGTGTTTCCAAGACATGTTTTCACCACCCAGTCAATGCCAGTGTTTCCAAGACATGTTTTCATCACCCAGTCAATGCCAGTGTTTCCAAGACATGTTTTCATCACCCAGTCAATGCCAGTGTTTCCAAGACATGTTTTTATCACCCAGTCAATGCCAGTGTTTCCAAGACATGTTTTCATCACCCAGTCAATGCCAGTGTTTCCAAGACATGTTTTCATCACCCAGTCGATGCCAGTGTTTCCAAGACATGTTTTCATCACCCAGTCAATGCCAGTGTTTCCAAGACATGTTTTCATCACCCAGTCAATGCCAGTGTTTCCAAGACATGTTTTCATCACCCAGTCAATGCCAGTGTTTCCAAGACATGTTTTCATCACCCAGTCAATGCCAGTGTTTCCAAGACATGTTTTCATCACCCAGTCAATGCCAGTGTTTCCAAGACATGTTTTCATCACCCAGTCAATGCCAGTGTTTTCCAAGACATGTTTTCATCACCCAGTCAATGCCAGTGTTTCCAAGACATGTTTTCATCACCCAGTCGATGCCAGTGTTTCCAAGACATGTTTTCATCACCCAGTCGATGCCAGTGTTTCCAAGACATGTTTTCATCACCCAGTCAATGCCAGTGTTTCCAAGACATGTTTTCATCACCCAGTCGATGCCAGTGTTTCCAAGACATGTTTTCATCACCCAGTCAATGCCAGTGTTTCCAAGACATGTTTTCATCACCCAGTCAATGCCAGTGTTTCCAAGACATGTTTTCATCACCCAGTCAATGCCAGTGTTTCCAAGACATGTTTTCATCACCCAGTCGATGCCAGTGTTTCCAAGACATGTTTTCATCACCCAGTCGATGCCAGTGTTTCCAAGACATGTTTTCATCACCCAGTCGATGCCAGTGTTTCCAAGACATGTTTTGATCACCCAGTCGATGCCAGTGTTTCCAAGACATGTTTTCATCACCCAGTCAATGCCAGTGTTTCCAAGACATGTTTTCATCACCCAGTCAATGCCAGTGTTTCCAAGACATGTTTTCATCACCCAGTCAATGCCAGTGTTTCCAAGACATGTTTTCATCACCCAGTCAATGCCAGTGTTTCCAAGACATGTTTTCATCACCCAGTCAATGCCAGTGTTTCCAAGACATGTTTTCATCACCCAGTCGATGCCAGTGTTTCCAAGACATGTTTTCATCACCCAGTCGATGCCAGTGTTTCCAAGACATGTTTTCATCACCCAGTCGATGCCAGTGTTTCCAAGACATGTTTTCATCACCCAGTCAATGCCAGTGTTTCCAAGACATGTTTTCATCACCCAGTCAATGCCAGTGTTTCCAAGACATGTTTTCATCACCCAGTCAATGCCAGTGTTTCCAAGACATGTTTTCATCACCCAGTCAATGCCAGTGTTTCCAAGACATGTTTTCATCACCCAGTCAATGGTTATGCCAAATAACAGGGGAGATATAATTCCTTGTTTCACTACAGTTTCAACTTCAAACCAATCACTTAAACCATCATCCGTTCACAATGCATACTTTTAACCTTCATATATATCCCAAATAAAACAATAGTAACTACAACATTGCTCCTACAAGGCCTGTTTTCCAGGTAAGTGAAGGTATGGTTGAGACGAGTTTGCTAACTCACTAAAGATGAGAAAAGGAGCACTGGAAAATATTGTGACGAGGGTGGATGGCCTAAGACAGAGGCATGGAGGAATATTATCAGTGGAATTGATCCAGAACACCAAATACTGAGATCTGTGGTGATGCATGAACCACTACACTAGCTGATGATGATGAACTCACTAAAAAGTATCAGCTGCCAAAGCCAACCAACATTCAACAAGCTGAAAAAAGGGCTTGCTAGATAATTCAGAGCCTCTGTTCTAAGGAGGGATGAAACAAAAGGATGAGGACCATAGCCTGAATTAAAGACATGCTTTTACAGTGGAACCTAAGGACATGAATTTAATCCATTCTATGACTGTGAGCTCGTATTGTGAATAACTCATTTCCTGAACTGATTTTCCCAATAAAATTTGGGTAAATAATGTTAATTCCTTCCAGCCCTCCAAAATATCACCCTATTAGTTTCAAAATGGTGGCAAACCAGCCATGTGTACATCTGGGCTGGCACCTGAGACAACAGATCACATCCTCCAAGACTGTCCCAAATACAACATAAGTGCAAGACAAACTTTACGAGTGGCTGAGATAAACACAGCAGACAGTAAAGTTCATACTAGAGACAACATTGCAGGTTTAGATAATTTATTTCAAGCAAACGAAAGAAGAAGTTTCAAAATGTTGGCAAACCAGCCATGTGTACATCTGCACTGACACCTGAGACAACAGATCACATCCTCCAAGACTGTCCCAAATACAACATAAGTGCAAGACAAACTTTACAAGTGGCTGAGATAAACACAGCAGACAGTAAAGTTCATACTAGAGACAACATTGCAGGTATAGATAATCTATTTCAAGCAAACAAAAGAAGAAGTTTTAAAATGCTGTTTTTTGCTTCACTAATGTGGTTATGGAATGATAAAATTAAGAAACCACATCACAACACTCAGGACACCCCCCATAAGTGCTCCATCCCCATCTTCAGCAGCAAGTGACGAGTTAAAAATTTGATGGTACCAGTAAGAATTATGTGGATAATTTGTGACACTACTTTTTGTTTCTGAAAATTGGGGTTACTTCCGGCCAAACTGATACAGTCTATCATCAAGTGTCTTGTCAACTGGCTCAAGTCCTCCTTCAGCAATGTTAGCGTGACCTAATCCATTTAAACGTTATCGAGATTCTGTTGGGTACCGCTGAGAGTTTCTCCTCTCTCAAGCTCGCACCTTAGATTTCACCTCATATTCTGTGAGGCACACACAAAAAATGGCGAGCCTGACTTTGTATCCTGAAAAACTTGTATCCAGGTTCACTTGTATCCTGCTCTTCTAGTGTATTTTTTTTTTTTCAAAGTAAAAGTAAAAAGTCCTACAAAATTGTCTTTGTATACATCATTCTGTGCCTCCATTTATCTATGTGACTGGCCTTCTCTTTCCATTTAATTTTTCCAAGTGCTTGTAGATCTGCCTGTCTACTATCTCTCCACCATCATCTTGGTCTGCCTTGTGGTCTACTCCCTTTAAACTCTTTTGCTTACTCAGTTTTTCCTCTCCATTATCTGTCACTTTCTATATACTCCAAAGGGGTTCACCCAGCCTCTAAGTAATGGGTACCAGAGTTAACACTCTGGGTTTAATGTAGGAACGTCGCTGTAGCTACAGAGTTGCATGTGGAAGACGACACAGGCGGACAGTTTCTTATCAACTGTCCGGACTGGTGGCAGAGCACTTATGGTTTATAACCGTGTGTAGTGAAGCTGGTTTACATCTCTCAACTTTATCTTTACCATTGTAGTCTATAAGCCCTAATGATGCTAGTAATCAGTGCTGTTTTAAACAGATTATGTATTGCCTTGTTGCATAGAATATTATACTAAAAACATAAGATAATACCAAAAAAAGAAGTTAATTATTATATTTCTTTGGAAGTAAGGAAATCGACAAAATTCTCACCATTGCAGAAGAATCCAAGTTTTCCTTCGATGGTGACTGGATCATTCCAACAGGAAGTGCTCCTTTCTATGTACTCACCATTAGCACCGTACTGAAGTAAGAGAAGACAACTGTATTATGTCTCACAAGTTCTCAATCACTTGATAGTTTGAACAATTTAAAGGTATGAGGATTTACTTTACGAACTGAGTTTTATCACATTTGGCTCAGTCTCTCTCTGTATACTGGGTGGCAGCCTTCTGAGAGTCTTTTTTTCTTCTTTTGTTGTCTCACTGATACCAGGTTGTAGTCTAGTGTTATGGTTCTCTCATCTTACTGATACCAGGTTGTAGCCCAGTGTCATGGTTCTGTCGTCTTACTGATACCAGGTTGTAGCCTAATGTCATGATTCTGTCATCTTACTGATACCAGGTTGTAGCCCAGTGTCATGGTTCTGTCATCTTACTGATACCAGGTTGTAGCCCAGTGTCATGGTTCTGTCATCTCACTGATACCAGGTTGTAGCCCAGTGTCATGGTTCTGTCATCTCACTAATACCAGGTTGTAGCCCAGTGTCATGGTTTTGTCATCTTACTGATACCAGGTTGTAGCCGAGTGTCATGGTTCTGTCATCTTTCTGATACCAGGTTGTAGCCTAGTGTCATGGTTCTGTCATCTTACTGATACCAGGTTGTAGCCCAGTGTCATGATTCTGTCATCTCACTGATACCAGGTTGTTGTAGTCCAGTGTCATGGTTCTGTCATCTCACTGATACCAGGTTGTAGTCCAGTGTCATGGTTCTGTCATCTTACTGATACCAGGTTGTAGCCCAGTGTCATGGTTCTGTCGTCTTACTGATACCAGGTTGTAGCCCAGTGTCATGGTTCTGTCATCTCACTGATACCAGGTTGTAGCCCAGTGTCATGGTTCTGTCATCTCACTGATACCAGGTTGTAGTCCAGTGTCATGGTTCTGTCGTCTCACTGATACCAGGTTGTAGCCCAGTGTCATGGTTCTGTCGTCTCACTGATACCAGGTTGTAGCCCAGTGTCATGGTTCTGTCATCTCACTGATACCAGGTTGTAGCCCAGTGTCATGGTTCTGTCCTCTTACTGATACCAGGTTGTAGCCCAGTGTCATTGTTCTGTCATCTCACTGATACCAGGTTGTAGCCCAGTGTCATGGTTCTGTTGTCTTACTGATACCAGGTTGTAGCCCAGTGTCATGGTTCTGTCGTCTCACTGATACCAGGTTGTAGCCCAGTGTCATGGTTCTGTCGTCTTACTGATACCAGGTTGTAGTCCAGTGTCATGGTTCTGTCGTCTCACTGATACCAGGTTATAGTCCAGTGTCATGGTTCTGTCGTCTTACTGATACCAGTTTGTAGTCCAGTGTCATGGTTCTGTCGTCTCACTGATACCAGGTTATAGTCCAGTGTCATGGTTCTGTCATCTTACTGATACCAGGTAAATTCGAGACCACGCATCTTTCCTGTAGCAACATACAGATGTAAGTCGTAGACTATCTCCCAGTTCTTAAGAAAGAGAATAGGGGCTTTTGAGCTGCAATGCTATAGAAAAACTATATTGGACAAAGAAAAGGAGAAATACTGACATCTTGAAAGATCTAAACATCAAGGAATATTGGCTAATAAACAACATCCTGTCTCGGAAGCTGAAAATTTGTTTGGTCATATCAAGCTCCACGATGGACTTGAAAAAATTATAGCAGAAGGCATGGTACCAGGAAGGAGAGGCAGGGACCGCCCAACATGAAGATGGGCACAGGATATAAGTGACTCCTTAAGTATGAAAGTACATGAGGCAGGAGAGCTGGCCAGAGACCCAACTTCTTTCAGATAGACAGTGATGAGAGCGACTTCTGCAAAGGACCTGCTACATGATGATGATGATGAGTGCCCTATTTATTGTCCATGATTGGCACTGAAAACATAATGTAGGGATCAAGATGCTATTAATCATTTGCTGTTCTGTTGGAAGGGAGATATTTGGGTATCTAAGCAATGGGGCTGTTAGGTGACAGCATTTGCCTTCTATTGTCTCATAAAGCACAAACTCCTATCTCCAGTGACAATTCCTAGTGATCTCCATTAAAAAAAAACTGCATTTATAAACCACACAACACAGACTGATAATGATCTTTTGACCTTGAGAGCATGAGGCAAATGGCTTAAACACTTATTCATAATGGTTGAAGAAAAGAATTATGTTTCAAAAATTTAGTATGACTGGCCAAAGAAAAAAAAAATCAAGTTATTTCTCATTTATTCTGTATTACTGATAGAAGATACAATTATTATTTCTGATAAGTTTTTTTATCTAGCTTATAAATCTCTTGAAGTTACTAGCTTTTTAATATAAAATATTAGAATTACTAACTCATACATATTAAAGTTACTAGGCAATAATAATTAAAATTACTAGCCAATAAATTTTACAGATACCAGCTAAAAAATATTAAACTTACTAATTTATAAATTTTAAAGTTACCGGCTTATAATTATTCAAACTACAAGCTTATAAATATTCAAGCTTAACTCTTTCAATTCCAAACAATGTGTGACGTGTGATTAACACTTCTGTAAATCCCACTCTACAAGTAATATGTTCTAGTCCTTGTCATAGATGGTCACAGCATACTAAGAAATCTGGCTTCCCCAATATTTAGTAATTTTTGAAACCAATACACTCATAGTTTTTCCTATTGGTTTTTATACTTATGGGCATCTCCAATAAAATATTCTCTTACTGAATGAGTAAATGGACTTACCGATCTAAAAAGTGACGTCTGGCTTCCTCTTCTTTGATGTCTCTGTAGAAGTGGTGATTTCTCATTATCAGAGAAGACTAGGTTGTTCCCAAAAACTTCAGCACTTAAGCCAAAGTGGTCTTCATCAAAGATGAGGCCTGTGTCACCACCATCATCATCCTCATCCATCTGAGTCTTGAAATACTGAGAGTCATGAATGATCCGCTCTGCGTACATCAACAAATCCAGTGAAGAACTGGTGTGCAATGTGTTACAGAAATGACTGTCACTGTTTATCGAAGCCACTTCAGAAACTTCACAGGGTGGGTCATGTTGAAGTGACTGCTGAACATTCTGAAAGTCTGCAGAGAGGAAATCAGTACCACAGCTTGAATTTGTACAGACTGCGGTGCTTTTGAATGCATCGCTGTCCATGTCCTCTTGATTTCTGCAGCTGTGAAACGAAAGTGGTGGGAATTCAAATGGAGTTTCATCGCCTGATTGGAGCAAATCACTCTCATGGATTCTGTCACTGGATGCCGGTTTTTCCAAGAAATAACAATCACTGGGAACTGTTATTGGCTTTGAGGCTGTTTCATGTCCACTATTGTCTGGATGTTCAAATGTCTCAATATTCCTGTCATCTTCCAAGTGAACTGTTTGAGCTTTTGGGCTGTTTCTTTGTGAATTTTCTGAAAAAAAAATAAAAGATGAAATTTTTTTAAAGTACACGAATGAGTTTTGGTTATGAAATTAATCATCCTCATCATCACCATCAAGTGTTTAGCAGACCACTTTTTTCCACACCTTGCAATCTCCAAAAATATATAATTATTGTGCTGACACCTTTCCATGCCATGATAAGAGCAAAGGACCCTTTTCCACGCCTTCAGGTGTATTTGGCATATAGGGCTAGTCCTATGTGTTAGAGACCAATCTGCACTCTGCGGGTGATGTGGTCAATATCATGCCGGCTGTCTTTACTTCCCAGGACTTTTCTTGTTACCCGTTTAAAGCTGGGTCGACTTGACAGCCAAGGTCATTTTTTTTAAAAATATTCTGGCTCCGTTAGGACCTGAACCCATGACCTTCGGATCTGCAGGCAAGCATCCAGCCACTACACCATGGTGGCTCCCCCATGCCTTCTTCTTCTTCTTTATGTCCTTTTAACCGCTTCTGATGTAGAGGGAGACATAAGGTATCGCTTCCTGCTTTTCTAATTGCTTTGACCATAGACACATCATGGTGCTATAGAGTTTCTCTGATGTTATTTTCCCATCTTGTTCTTGGTCTACCTCTTGCTCTACATCCCTCTCCTCTTTTGGTATATGCCTTGTATGATATAGCATCAGGAGGCATTGTCTCCAAGTGGGCAAACCATTTGATTTTTTAAATTTAGAATTGGTTCTATGCCGACCTTATCTCGTACGGCTAAACGCTGTAAAGAATCTTCTCTTGTCTTCCCTTGTCCTCTTATTCTCTTTTTTTCATAAACCTTCTCTGCCGTCACAACCTGTTCCAGTCTTTATCTTCTGACTGTGTGGCCAAAACATGATGCCTGCCTTTTTCTAATGTTCATGATGAGATGTTTTCGCAACTTAGCATTTTTTTAAATAAATGAATTACCAACACAGATATTATGAAAATGAATTTGTCAATAGCAGAAACATCAATCAGAAGTCACAAAACATTAAAATAAGATGAAACAGTGCCAATATCATTCTCAATTTTTTTTCAGTTTTTTCACTAGTCTTAACTCTCTGAGTCCCAAGGAGCGCATCATACGTTCATGGCTTCCTAACTTGAAGCCCAATTAATGCATGATGTGCCGATTTTATGACTTTATTTACTACCCCCTAGACCTGTGATGCTAAACCCCCTGGGACTCAAAGAGTTAAAATTCTTTAGCATTTAATTTCATAGTTGCAAACACAAAAGTAAAGAAATAAAAGTCAGTGACTAGAAGAAATGTATTTTTAAAAAAAACGGTCATAAGATAAAACAATCTGCATAGAAACGATGCGGCGTCCGTGGCTAAGGCGTTGCGAGTCCGACTCGTAAGCTAGCATACCGCGATCGAAACCCACTGCAGCCTGCGTGGATTTTTGTCGTGGTATGGGACGTCGCAGGTCGACCCAGCCTAAAATGGGTACCAGGATGGGCTGTCCTGGGAAAGTAAAGACAGCCGGCGTAATGCTGACCACATTACCCACAGAGTGCTGATGGTCTGTAAAATATGGGACGCTCTGCCCATATGCCCGATGCGCCGAAAGGCGTGAAAAGGGAACTTTACTTTACTTTATAGAAACGATACTGAATAACAGATAAAGATAGAAAAAAAATGGTGTGCTCTCTTAGACAGATCGCAAAGAGCTCCTGGCATAATTTCGTTGAGCATCTACGCTTGAACCCTTTACTCCCCAGAGGTCTAACCAAAGACTGGGTTTAAACTATGCTGCATAGATGGATAAACGCCCCATAATAAAGTGCCTCCAAAGAACCCCCCCCCCCCCCCCCCCCAAAACTAACCCCCAAAAAAAACTGATTACCTATATTTAAAATAAAAAACCCCCCCCCCCCCCCCCCCACCCCCCCCCCCACCCCCCCCCCCCAGAAAAAATTTAAAAATTAAAAACAACCAGACAAATGTGCATCATGAGGCAGAAGAAAACTAGAGGTAAGAGAGGTAGAAGTAAATCAAAAGAGAAGGTAGAAAGTTTTACATCTTGACAAGAAAGAACATCTATACACACAAAAAAGGACAGTACTTGTGACCACCAAAGGCACTGTACAAAAATTGAATACCAATGTCCCATGGGCCTTACAATAAGGGTAACTCAACAGAACAGCAGATGAAGCAAAAGTTAAAGAAAATGTATTCTGGCCTGCACAGAGAAGGTCAGAGTATTTATTGTCCACTGTGAATAATTAGTTACACAATGTGAAAACCCCCCCCCCCCCCCCACCCCCCCCCCCCCCCCCCAACCCCCCCCCCCACCCCCCCCCCGCCCCCCCCCCACATCAGCAAAAGAAAGGTATAACACCGCCGCAAGGAACACGACGAACAACTGCAAAAATTAGGTGAGTTAAAAAAGGATGCAATTCTGTTCTATGTTTTATCAATGAAACTGTTAATGAAAAATCAACCCCCCCCCCAACAGACACGTAATTTTCTTAACAACTGGCTGACAAAACCACCCCCCCCCCCCCCCCCCCACGGCAGACATCTATATGATTAAACCCAAAGTACCCCCCCCCCCCCCCCCCCCCCCCCCCCCCCCCCCCCCCCCCAGCAAACCCCCCCCCCCCCATCCTTTTCACATGACTCAACCAAAGAAACACTCAGCAAACCCCAGTGTCAATAAAACAAATAAAAAATTGGGAAGCCCCTGTGTGACTAAACCACAGTAATATTTAGCAAACCTCAAATGATTAAAAAAAAACACACAAATACTTAGCAAACCTCAAATGATTAAACAAAACACACAAATACTTAGCAAACCTCAAATGATTAAACAAAACACACAAATATTTAGCAAACCTCAAGTGATTAAACCTTCTCCATGTGGGTTCTGGGGTGCCACTGGAGGATGTGGCCACTAGACACCCAACCCACCACCCCCCCGCCCCCCCACCCACCCCCCCCCCCCCCCCCCTCCCCCATCTTTCCAGCAAGCGATACAGGCACCAGTAACCCATTAGTCGACTAATCAGAGGTATTTGAAGACTGGGTTTAAACTCAGAGTTCAAAGAAGTACTAACCCCAAAAAAAACCTGATTTACCTGAGGAACCTCATTGTAGTCAGAAGAAACTAAGTAAGCGGGGGGGGGAACAGTCTCTTGACAAGAAATAACATCTATACACAAATAAACACCAGATCTGTACCAAATGGCCTACATAAGGTAATGTGTAAGCATTAAAAAAGTTCAAGTATAGAAGGTCAGAGTATTTTATTGTCCCTAAGAAGAAACCAGCAAAAGAAAGGTGACCAAACCAAACAAAAAATTAGACAAAAAGGATGCAATTTCTGTCTATGTTTTTCAATGAAAAATGAAATCAAAGAACAGTAATCTTCTTACAACTGGCTGACAAAACAACTGCGACCATCTATATGATTACACAAATGTAATATTTAGCAAATTGACTCAAACCTCTGTCCAATGGGAAGCTAAATCAAACCTTCAAATGTAAAACTTTGCAAACCTCTGTCAATGGCAAACCTAAATCCTTCTCCAGAGTGAAATGGGGTGAGACCAACCACCACCACCCCCCCCTTCCCCCTCCCCATACAGGCGCTTTAAATCAAGGTTATTTTGAAGTCAGAACCTGAGGGACTGTACAAATAACCAGGATCTTAAAATGAATGTGTAAATCTGACGTTACAAACCTCTGTATGGTTAAATCAAAGTAGGACTTTACAAACCTCTGTATGGCTAAATCAGAGTAGCGCTTTACAAACCTCTGTATGGTTAAATCAAAGCAGGACTTTGCAAACCTCTGTATGGTTAAATCAAAGTAGGACGTTACAAACCTCTGTATGGTTAAATCAAAGTAGGACTTTACAAACCTCTGTATGGTTAAATCAAAGAAGGACTTTACAAACCTCTGTATGGTTAAATCAAAGTAGGACTTTGCAAACCTCTGTATTGTTAAATCAAAGTAGAACTTTGCAAACCTCTGTATGGTTAAATCAAAGTAGGACTTCGCAAACCTCTGTATGGTTAAATTAAAGTTGGATTTTGCAAACCTCTGTATAAACCAAAGCAGCACTTTACAAACCTCTAAATGACTAAACCGAATAACATTTTGCAAACCTCTGTATGACTAAAGGGAGTCACCATGGTGTAGTGGTTAGACGCTCGCCTGCGGATCAGAAGTTTGTGGGTTTGGGTTTTGGCTGAGCTAGACTTTTTTTCAAATATGACCTTGGCTCCAAGGTCGACCCAGCCTTGAGTAGGTATTAGGAAAGTCCTGGGAAGTAAAGGCAGTCAGCATGACGTTGACCACATCATGAACAAGTGTGCTGACTGATCTATAAAATATAAGACTAACCCAATATGCCCAATGAACCTGAAGGCATGGAAGAAGGTCCTTTACTTTACTATATGACTAAAAAGTGACATTTAGCAAACTTTTGTATCTAAGCTTAACAATATCCTTCTTCTTCTTCTTCGCGTTCATCAGCTGTAAACTGGCGGAAAGTTCTGGTTGCTCATCCACTTTTGGACACTGTAGTCCTGTTCCAGAACCTGAGTGTTGCGTGTGCATCTGTTAGACAAATCTGACTCATTTGTATGCAGACTGCTGGTTCCTTGCCTCTCAGGCAGATGCACTCCAACTTCGAATGAAGCTCCCAATTAGTCGACTCTTACGACATGCTTTTGGGTAGGCAGTGGGTCTATTCTTCTCTTCCCTATAATAGGGCCCCTGAACCCACACAGGGAATAACAATATTAACCCTTTGGAGACAGAGCTTTTTTTGGGAGTTTCAGCGCAAAACAAATTATAGAAAATAAATTGTGCAATTAACATATACAAAACTATATATACATATATATATATATATATATAGATATATATATATATATATATATATATATATATATATATATATATATATATATATATATATATATATATATATATAATATATTATATATATATATATATAGAGGGAGGAAAATAAATGAACTAACAGAATATGTATGAATCAAACTGAAATCTCAAATTTTATTCAAATTAACTATTATGATTTGCATTATTTATGCAGGCATTTTTTTTTAAACCTTGGGATCAATAACGACTAACCTGAACAATTTGGGTGCATTTTTTTATGGATGAAGCCTGAATAAATAAGTCCTAAGACTTGTGTTTTGGAGAAATGGAGGCTGTTCAGACACTTCTGACACATGGTTCTACTAATTTTCGTGTCTTCTAATATGTTTTGGCTGCTATGACGCAACAAGCCGTTGTTGGGCACAGGTAGGTCCACACACACAAAAATCGCTGTAAAATTACTGAACACATCCAACTTTCTCGAAATCCGTCATTAAACAGCCCATATGTGCAAGAAATGCGAGAAGCAAGGTGACTGGCTGGTACAAAAACCTGAAAGCCAATCTCAAGGCTTGTATTACACGGGACAACTGATTGGCCAGTTCATACTTTCGGCTATTGTGCGTTGGGCCGATATTTCGGCAGCATCGTCTCCAGAGGGTTAAACAAATATTTTGACAGTGGTTTCTAATTAGGCAAAAGTATGATCACTAACCACTGTTTTCTCCATCTTCTACAGCAGTACTGTCTGAAACAGGAACCTGTTCATTCCCGACAGCAAACGTCTGCTGCATGTCTTGCATATAAATCTGTCTTGGCTCCGTATAGAGGAGCAGAACAATGACAATCAGCAGGCCCCATACAACAACCATGAATGCCTGAGAAATAATCATAGAGAAAATATAAGTATATAAAACAGTGTGAACAGATAAAAGGTTATGAGAAACAATTATATAGCAAATATGAATGCTTGAGTGTGAACAGATATAAGTGTTATGAGAAACAATTATATAGCAAATATGAATGCTTGAGTGTGAACAGATTTAAGTGTTATGAACAGTGTGAACAGATATAAGGTTATGAGAAACAATTATATAGCAAATATGAATGCTTGAGTGTGAACAGATATAAGGTTATGAGAAACAACTATATAGCAAATATGAATGCTTGAGTGTGAACAGATATAAGGTTATGAGAAACAATTATATAGCAAATATGAATGCTTGAGTGTGAACAGATATAAGGTTATGAGAAACAATTATATAGCAAATATGAATGCTTGAGTGTGAACAGATATAAGTGTTATGAACAGTGTGAACAGATTTAAGGTTATGAGAAACAATTATATAGCAAATATGAATGCTTGAGGAAAAATCACAGACATAAATATATAAAACAGTATGAACATGTATAAGGTTATGAGAAACAATTATGTAGCAAATATGAATGCCTGGGGAAAAATCACAGACAAAATATAACTATATGAAGAGCTTTAAACATGTATATAGTTAGAAGAAACAATTATATAGCAAATTTTAATGCCTGGGGGGGGGGGGGGGGGGGGGGGGGGGGGGGGGGGGGTGGGGGGGGGGGGGGGGGGGGGGTCACAGAAAAAATATAAATATATAAAATAGTTGGGACAAGTATAACAAAAAGAGAAAAAAATCATACAGCAAATATGAATGCCTCAAAACTGTTGTCCCCTCTCCGTCTTTCTAGGCAACAGGAAGGCCTGGGAATTATAGGATTACCAGAAAGTTGGAATAAGACCATGTCTCGATTATACTGACAGACAAAGAATGAAATGGTTCAGTCATCTAGTGAGACTGCAGCCATGCCGAACTGCATATGAGACCTTTTACAGCAGAACATCTGGGAGGAAAGCGAGAGGAAGAACAAGAAAGATATGGATAAACGGTGATGCAGAAACAGGCAAAAAGATGAACATATCCATCATACAAGCCACCCGAGAAGAGCGAGACAAATACAGAAAACCAAGGCACTGGTCTACAACCTGGTATCAGTGAGATGACAAAAGCATGGCACTGGTCTACAACCTGGTATCAGTGAGATGACAAAAGCATGGCACTGGGCTACAACCTGGTATCAGTGAGATGACAAAAGCATGGCACTGGGCTACAACCTGGTATCAGTGAGGCGACAAAAGCATGACACTGGGCTACAACCTGGTATCAGTGAGGCGACAAAAGCACGACACTGGGCTACAACTTGGTATCAGTGAGACCACAAAACCACGGCACTGGGCTACAACCTGGTATCAGTAAGACGACAAAAGAAGAAGAAGAAGCAGAATTCCAAGAGCCATTAAGGCCAAGGGTGAAGGTCCTCTCTTCCATAGCACAAAGTGCTAGGCCAGTGGTTCTCAACCTTCCTAATGCTGCGACCTTTTAATACAGTTCCTCATGCTGTGGTGACCCCTAACCAAACAATTATTTTCATTGCTTCTTCAAAACCTCAATGATTTTGTGTTTTCTGATGGTCTTAGGCAACCCCTGTGAAAGGGTCATTCGACCAAAAAATGGGTCGCGACCCACAGGTTGTGAACCGTTGTGCTAAGCAGTGCTGTCGAGACAATGTGTTACCCATACAGCATAAACCCTCTCTTCACCTGCTACGTTAACACCAGAAATCTGAAACATAGCAGGCAGCAGAAGCTGTAGGATCAGAATAGCAAAAGCTGTATCCACCTGTTAAAGACTTCCTCCTAGACCAGCTGCCAACCTAAGCCAAAGGGCCTTGTCTGCCCTGTCACATCATTACATTTTCAGGCTGCATTTCGCTGTCCTAGGATAAGACCAGTATCCTCTCTAATATGCTCCTCTTCCCAATGCCGTTGCAACAAGTGGGATGTCAGGCTTGAGATATGCCATCCAATATTCTATGTTAACAAACAACAGTTAATTCAGGCTATTTTTTTTAATGGTAGCTCTTATCTAACCAAGGCGTGATAGGGATGTCTCAAAATAGTCATAGAGATAATCACTTCTGATCCAACATGGCAAATAGGCAGGGCAAATGTTTTAAGCCTTTGCAAGTTATCTGCTCCTGGCTATAGTTAGCTGTTGCATTTTCCCACATTTTTGGATTAAAAGTATAAAGTTCCATCACCTGGCTCTGAGGTGAGTGCATGGTGTGACACTCTGAGTCACAGATTTTTTGCATGGAATACTTTTTTATCTGTGTGCAATATGGTTTGTGGTACGGACTGCAGATTCAGAAAATGTTTGAGTGGCCTGTTACCACACAGCTGGTGGTGACTTTAGCAATACTGTATTGGCAACTGCTGATTGTTTTTTGTAACTGCGGTTTCCATCGATGATGAACTGCAATTCTAGTAGCAGATTGTTTGCGTTGGCACTTATGACATGCTTCATGCATTCAATATGTCTCTATGCTACTGGCTTTGCCGAGGCTGCAGCCTGTTTTAATTTGTTTTCACATCGGAATCCTGGGTGGTTTTTGCTGTGCCAGGAATGGCGCAGTTATGGAGTGACCCAATTGCTGTGAAGAAGGAACTGCGATTAACTGATTAAATCAATGATTCCAAAACTGTAGGCCGCGGCGCCCCAGGGAGCTGTGACCTCTTCACAGGGGCGCTGCGAAATATTCAAAGATACAGTTTTATTTGTTTTCATCTCTTACATACGAATAGTCATACTTTTACTTAGGCTAGGGTGCTGTGAAAACATTTTGATTGAAAAAAGACTAATAAAGATAATCACAGGTGTGTTAACACATAAGTAGAAGTGAAATGATATTATAGATACAATAATGTGACGTTTACTAAATGAACTTAGCAAATCTCTGTGAATCAGCGTTGGACATGACATACAGTGAGAAAACCAGTTAATAGTATAACTAGAATGCCTTTCTTTGGAACTCACACGGTAAAGAAATAAAGAGCAACAAAATTAAACACGTGGAGAAGAGAATTTTATAAATTAATACAGGGAGGGTATAGGAAAAATTGCAAGAGACAGCAGTACATAGGAGGGCTTGGCATGGACTGGTGGAGTCCCATGTTTCATTTGGAGATAAAAGGAGGAGGAGGAGAAGGAGGAAGAAGAAGAAGAAAGAAGAAAGGATGAGGAGAAGACTAATACTTTCAAATAACAATAGAAAATACTAACCCCTGGTGCAGAGTATTTGTTGACTTCGAATGGCCCAATTTTGAAATTTGCTAATCGTAAAAATGCATTCAAACCCGGCCCTGGGGACAAAATGCATCAGAAAATATCGTAGCAATCCTTAGTTACTAGTATGTAATTGATTATTATCATTATCTTTATCTTGTCCATTTATACTATACCACCTATGGCTCGCAGTCTATTCCTCTCCCTTTCTATCTTGTGCAATTCTTTTGATTCTGTATATGGAATTCAGTCCGGATCCTCTGCCCCTTCTCACTGATAACCATCAAAGGATATCTCTTGGATGCCCTTACTTACTCAATTCATTTTTTTCCCAATTCAGTGCCTGTTTTGTGATTCTTTATCCAGTTTGTCTGAGAATGTGTGATGAAATGTAACTACTATTTAAATCAAACATTATGATCTAGAAATCATTACTGAATTATGTATTTCATATAAAATAGTTATTTTACACAAAAATTAATCAACATTTACTATCATCTTTGTCGTAAATATATACTGAGGCATGCAATAATCAATTGATACAATTCATATTTCAGATATGCAGCATACTTTTATTTTACTCAAGTGATGTAACCGCAAAGTTCAAGAGTGCTTTAAAAATTACATCTACTATCTGTCTATTAAATCCTCTTGGAGCTTCACTAGCAACCTAGATAAAGTAACGATCCCTTTTCATGCCTTAGGCGCCTCGGGTATATTGGAAGAGAGTCCCATATTTTTACAGATCAATCGGCACTGGATGGGTATTGTGGTCAACATTATGCCGGCCATCTTTACTTCCCCAGGACAGCCATCCTGGTACCCATTTTAGGCTGATAGGAATTTGTTTCATTTTTCTGCCAGGACACTCAGGGGTAACAGGGAATGAATGAGCGGACTGGCTTGCTGGCAGGGCTATGGTAGGCACAGGAAAAAGCAAATGGACCGAGCCAACATTCCCAATGCTCTCAAGGAGACAAAGTGGTCAAGTGGTCAGGCATTTGCTTTGAAGGTTAAAGGCTTAATTTGCTAACGTTCTCATTCAGTTCATGAGGCAATTTTTACAGACATCCTTAGGGATCCTTGCTGGAGCTACAGAGTCTGTGCTTTGTGTGACACTCTTGGCAGGTAGGTTCTGTAGAGAGAGACTGAGCCATATGGCATATACCCAGTCTAATTAGGTTGATATTTTAAAATTCAAACTTATTTTACAATGTTAACAAAAATAGCAGAATTCAGAACTATATGTTTACTGCCATGATGTCAGATACAGGTGTTACATGTTGATAACTTTACCCAAAAAATGTTAATAACTGTCTGTATTTACCACTTGGGCGAGACAGGCAGGCATGTCTTTAACTCTACCAGACCTCTGTACTGCTTTTCTGGTAATTTCCTAATATTCCGCTAAACCCCAGTACCTAATTTTTGGTACTTTGCGTGCTTTGTGAAAAAATGCGTCACAAACTAACAATGATCAACCAATCATTATCAAACCTTGTAGTTAGTCATTACAAATGGCTTCCCCCATGTGTTTGGATTTACTTTGTGTGGTTTGATGTGAAACAATTCTGACAATTCTCAATTGAATGAGCGGCTGATGAACCAAGCACTTCGACAGGAAGGTGAAGCAGGTCTAGGCTTTTCACAGCCCAACAGGTGATAGATACTTTGGTTGATTCAGACTCTGAGAAGTCCGAATTTCATTCATCAAGAATACTTTTCCAGTTCAAGTGATTCAGACAGTGCGAACTCGAGTGATGAGGAGAATCTTGAACCTTTTAGACCTAGAACTAGATCGATAGTAAGAGAAGGGGGCATGTCCCTCCAACAGCAACATCTAGTGCTCACTTTGTGAAACAAGGCTCATCCTGCTGGGTGGATTGGCACACAAAGGTGGAATATTAGCGCTAGATGAAAGGTAAACCTATTTTCTACAATGTCTCCAAGTTTCCTCTTATTCTGACCACTTGTTTGCATGTAACTAAAATTTTTGTATATCATGTTGATTTTTGTGTGTTAATGCCCAGGAGCTCAGGTATAGGGGACAGTTAGGTTCAGGGCCTCAGGTCTGGTAGGGTTAAGAGTGAGAATTTAGGGCCGCACGGCTAGTGCTGTCACCATAGACCATGCAGGTAAGGATATTATTTCTGCCCCCGACAAAAAAAAAAAAAAATCTGTCACTTTACCAAAGAAAGATTCAGCATACTTAACCATTTGACCAGCTGCTCCTCTCTGACCACCCTGGGAAATAACTTCTTCCATTTGATTACATTGTACACTGTTTACTTTTCCTCGCCAAAGTGTATGGTGAAGCATCATCATCAATCATTAAGCTGGGTATATGGATTAGGCTGGTTTAATCGGGAAGCCAAGTTAAAAAAATTTAACAAATCCATTTAGGAGCAGATTCAAACCCAAGACCAACAGGCAAGTGTTTCGCCAACCAGCTACTGCAAATCCTAGAATGAAATATAAAATTTGTTTTCTTCTTCTTACAGTTCACCGGCTGTAAACTCTGGCAGAAAGTTCTGGTTGTTTGTCCACTTCTGAACTTTGTTTCTGCCCCAGAACGAGTTTTGCATTTACATCAATTTCACAAATCTGGCTTTCCAACTGCAGACTGTTGGTTCCTTGCCCTTCAGGTAGTTGCACTCAGACTTCGAGGGAAACATCTCTAATTAGTCGCTTGTATGACATCCTTGTTGGGGGCGGGGGTGCAGTGGGTCTATTCCCCCCCCCCCCAAATTGGAGCCCAAAGCCCACACAGGATTTTATTCTATTTAAAATAGGATCACAAAATACTGTACCAATTAGTAAAGCAATCTGGCGCATTGATACAAGGTATGAAATAATGGCAGTACGATCCTTTTCAGGTGTGTATCGGGACACTTCAGCAATTGCAACTGCCTCACTTGCTGCCCCCATTCCTTGTTGAAAAATTAGACAAATATTTAAGATTAATTTGATCTGATCATGTATGCAGAATTAAAAGGAAATTTAACTAGTATAAAACCAAAATATTTAACTCTAATGTTGAATGAGTTCTGCTGTGTGCAGCAGAAACATGGACAATTACTGAAATATTTACTTTACTAATAAACTACAAACATTCATGAACCGGTGCCTGAGCAGGAAAAAAAGGAGTTAAAATGATGAAAACATCAATGTGGAGATTTGCAAGAGAATTAAACAAATTGCAGTGAAGAGGTGAAGAAAAGATGCAGGCACTGAATAGAACACACGTTGAGAAAACATGAACACAATAGAACTAGAAGGGCTTCACACTTGAACCTATTATGGCACCCTTCCATCTTTCCAGACAATAGTGTTATACTGTGCTATGAGTAGGCATGGGATTCGTAGTCCATGGCAATGGCAAGTGTGACTTGCAAGACCCACCCACGTTAAGAAGTCTTCCACAATTATAGCATAAGATTTCAGGACCGTTGTTGTCAACATTTGTGTTTAGTGTGTTTTTTCTCAGACGTTCAGCTGTCATCCTTTCTGCAATCATTTTTCCCCTCCATTTTCATTCCTTTCCTGATGTGTCTCCTCCACACAACACAGTCCTTGTAATTTTGTTCCGAGCCCACCTAAATACCTGTATCATTCATTTCCCACTTGCACACATCTGTATATTGTAGCAAAGGTCAGCCTCCCCATTTACCCACCTCTAAATCACCATAGAGGATGAACTTAGTGACTCTGCCATTTCCCCATGCTCCAGCCATTGGAACCCACAGAGGTATCAAAAATTAAAGCCGGCCAAAAAAGACATGGAGAAAGAAACTAGAGAGTGAAGTTAAAAAGACGGCGAGGACAGGGTTGAGCTGCATGCAATAGGTAAAGGATAAGACAAACTGGCATGCAGTGGTCGAGGGCTTATGCTCCATTAGGGAAAATAGGGCAGGGAAAGCAGGTAATCCAAATCTGGCTTACCTAACTCTCATTCCTTCCCCACTCCTTTCCAAAATCAACAGACTGTAGATACTCAAATTCTGACCTAAAAGCTTTCACCCTTTTTTTTAAAAACCATACCGACAACAGACTCCTCCCCTTCTTCTTTGTGTTCACCAGCTGTAAACTCCAGCTGAAAGTTCTGGTTGTTCATCCACTTTTGGACTGCAGTCCTGTCCCAGAACCTGAGTGTTACATGTGCATCCGTTTTACAGATCTGACTCATTTGTATGCAGACTGCTGGTTCCTTGCCTCTCAGGCAGATGCACTCCAACTTCGAAGGAAGCTTCCAATTAGTCGACTCTTACGACATGCTTTTGGGTAGGCGGTGGGTCTATTCTTCTCTTCCCTATAATAGGGCCCCAAAACCCATACAGAAAAGACTTCTCACCAACTGACAAAATTAAGTCAATTTCTTAACATTTTTATCATCTTGTTATTCTTATCAACTTCATGTGCTTTGCTGATAAATGTAAAGATGGGTGAGGTGTAGGGGATCATGGTCAAATCTCACACAATCATCAGAAATGATAGATCAGGTCTGTGTCCTTGTCCAGCTCATGTCATGTGGCTAAGCCATCCTTAGATCTATAGATCTTTGTCTTACCTTTGCTCTTTTCCCATCAAGTTTGCCAGTGCTCACTATGTTTGAAAGTTTATCTTATTTAATGGCATCTTTAATGTCTGTATTTACCACTTTTTTTAGGGTGGTATAGGACATGGGTGTTCACTTCATAACATGCCCAACAAATCTTGATCATCTACATTAAATTTTGTTAAATAGATTATCTAGTTTAAACTGTTTCTTGAAGACTGCTTTATGCATTTTTCTGTTCAACCAGGTGTTATTTGTTTGTTGAAAACATGTTTTATTTAGATGTTACAATCTTTAAAAAAAAAAAAACTAATGAAAATAAGATTTCAAAAATAAGAAGTGGACGAACAACCAGAACTTTCTGCCAGAGTTTACAGCTGGTGAGTGCAAAGGGCTCAGTAGAGGACAAGAGGAGACGAGGCAGACCAAGAAAGACCTGGATACAGAACTTGACTGACTGGACAGGCCTTGAGCATGTAACCATGAAGTCCATCGCAACTGACCATCAAAGATGGAGGGATCTGATCAGACAGTCAACAGCAACTGGTTATCCAACGACACTCATAATTATGGGATGGTGATGAAGATAAGGATGATGAAGACAAAGAAGAAAAAGAAATAACAAAAAAGCTGCTCGGATCAGTTTATGGCTCATAGTTGTGTAAAATGTTTACAGTGTGTTCCGTTTTGTTCTTACCTGAAACAAACCTACTGGCCAGACACAACCACTGGGAGACTTCAATGAAGTAAAGAAAACTTCCCGCCAGCTCAAAGGCAGCACACACTATAAAGATCTGTTTGCTGCAGCCAATACGATCCGATAACCTGGTGAAATCAAAACATCTAATTTATTATACCTGCCGTCTGACACAAAAACTTATCACAAACATCAGGGAGTGGTACTTATCATTTCGGATCAAATTATACAAAGAAAAGAAACGTGGAACATGCACAAACTGGAAGGTAAAAGTAAAGGTGAGATCGACTTGATTGCACCAGGTTTTATCCCATCTGGCTCAGTCTCTCTCAGCAGAACAGCTAGCTGCCTGCTGAGAGCGTCGCACAGAGCATGAGCTCTGTAACTCTGGCGACAATCCCCAGGGATCTTTGTAAAAAACTGCACTCGTGAACTGAACGGTAATGCCATGAAATGAACCCACGACCTTCAGAGCACGAGGAAAATGGCTTGACCACTTTGCCATGGAGACCCCCCATGTACAAACTGGAAAGATTTATTGGAAGAGAGATAAAGGGCGACAATGAGAGAAGATTCTTGACAACATTCTTCTTCTGCGTTCATCCTTTAAAGGGCAGTTTTCACATTGTGTTGTGGATTGCAGTTAGGCTGTCATATTTGCATTTTTGGGCCCAACACATAGGATTTCAGCAAATCTTTAATTAACCACCTTTAATCTTCTTCTTTGTTCACTGGCTGTAAGCTTGGCAAGGCACTTAATGATGATGCTATCTGAGAGGACTGACTAGAATCTCCCTTGTGTTACTGAGGGTACATATGAAAATAATAGTAAACAATGTAACCCACCATGCAGGTCCAAAGAGGCAACCAAGGAGTGTTGGTATAAGACTTTAACTGCAAAATCCAAGAAATCATCTACATCTTGACTACACCCTACTAAAATTAAAGGCACCATGTGGTTAGTGAACTTCTATACAGGAGCTTAATACCCACTGGTGGCAGAATTGTTCCCAACCAGTGCAACTCTGGGATTAATGTAGCCCTTTGAGCATTCAAGATTTATATGGGAAATTGAAAAATTATTATCTCCAAGTGGGTTCCAGGGCTATCTTAACGAAATAAAAATAAAAAATAAAATAAACAATTAGGGTAAATATAACCATGCCTATCATTACTACACACTATGTAGTGGCAACAGCATCAAAGATGTCATATACGCATGGTAACTGGTGCCCAAAGGCATCATGCCATCAAAAAATTTGACAAATGCCTAGGTCTCTGCATTTATGGGGGCCAACAGGGTTAATATCCCAACTCAGGTGGGTTTTTTTAAACTGTTCTGGACTACCAGGTAAGCCCAGTCTAAATGAGGTACCAGGGATATGTTTTGGAAGTAAAGGCAATGGGTGGGACACTGACCCCTTTACCAGCAGGTCCCAATTGGTATATTAAAAAAACTACAGGGCTAGCATCATATGTCTAACACACCTCATGACTTTAATTTACAAAAATCACTTATGTGGATAACTTTTACTTTACAAAATCCACATAAGTGGATAATTTTTACTTTACAAAATTCAAATAAGTTGATAACTCAAATTTACAAAATTCAGATAAATGAATAACCTTTACTTTACAAAATTTACATAAGTGGATAACTATACAACAGAACAAAGCAGGACACACTGGCCTATCCTGACAGTGGGAAATTACTGTCGAAGGCAGGGGTAAAATCATTTAGGTGGATGTGGAAGATAAGGGATAATGATCACATTATCCAAGTCTTTAACTGCCCTTTTTATACCACTTTTGAGGACAGTGTAGAGCACAGAGGTCATGTTTAGCCTGAGAATTTCAAAGCTGTACGGCTGGTACATTTTGCAGGTTAGGATTTTATTCTTACCACTGATAGAAAAAAATTTCCATCAAAGATATGAACCCTAGTTTTGAAGTAAGTGCTAAACATTCTAACCACTCAACCAGGTAAATTAACAGCAGTCATCACAAATTCTAAGAACTGAGATCTGTGGTGACACAAATGCAATCTGACAAGGAACAATATTATGACGATGACAATGATGGTGATAACAATGACGTTGACAGCAAATGATGAAGATAGCAATGATAATGATAACAATGATGATCATGATAACAATGATGATGAAACAAATGATGATAATAACAATGATGATAATAAAAATGACGATGACAGCAATAATGAGGATAACAATAATTATAATTATAACAATGATGGTAACAATGATGATGGCAAGACTAATGATAACAATGATAATGACAACAATTATGATGATGATTATGATGATAATGATGAGAACAACAATGATGAGTATGATAACAATGATGATGATAACAATAATGATGGTGATGAATGTATATACAACAAAATCCTCAAACTAACCTGCCAATAAGTGGAGCTGAAAACATGGCTGCCAAACTGTAAGCTGAGAGAACGAGACCCAGCATGTAGTCTGGTGCTTTGTAGACAGTGCTCAGATAAAGCCACAGTGTTGGAAGGATGACCGCTGAAAAACAAAACAAAAAGATCAGTGAAGTATACTTGCTATACAAGTCTTTTTCATATTCACCGGCTGTAAACTCCTGCGGAAAGTTCTGGTTATTCGTCAACTTCTGGACTCTAGTCCTGTTCCAGGAACTGGGTGCTGCGTGCATTCGTTTCACAGGTCTGACTCATTTACATGCAGACTGTTGGTTACTTGCCTCTCAGGCAGATGTACTCTGAATTCGAAGGAAGCTCCCAATTAGCCCACTCCTACGACATGCTTCTGGGCAGGCAATGGGTCTCTTGTTTTTCCCTACAGTGGGGACCCAGAGCCAACAAGGGGAGCTATACAAGTAATTTGTTCAATGTATACAAAGAGGAAGCACATGGGGTTGGAGAACTGGCTAGAGGAAGAGAGAGACTCAAGCCCGTCATGACAAAAGTGATGTTCTGTGATGAACATGACACTGTGTAAAAAAAACTGCTATTTAATGATGATACAAAGAAGAGAGAGACTCAAGCCCGTCATGACAAAAGTGATGTTCTGTGATGAACATGACACTGTAAAAAAAACTGCTATTTAATGATGATACAAAGATGTACAGGCACACATAAAATATCTCTCTCTCTCCAAAGAATTCTCCTTGCTTGTTTGACATATTATTTCCCTAGCCTTCTTCTTCTTCTTTTAGTCGTGGCAAGTTTTTACTTCTGGCAATAGTTAGCCGTTGCATTTGCCCCCATACGTAGACTAAAAGATATAGTTCTGTCGGCCAGCTACTGAGGTTAATGCATGGCGTGACACTATGAGCTATGGATTTAATTTTGAATGCTTTTCGACTGTGCTCAGCGGGGTTTGTGTTGTGAACAGCAGAGAAAATAGTAATTGGCCTGTTACCACAGAAAGGGTGGTGCCTTATGTGTGTGCAACTACTGATCTGTTGTACCTGCTACTTCCACTGATGAAGAGCTGCATTTTTACTGTTGGACTGTTTGTGTTGGCACTTCTGACAGATGCCAGATACATTTAATGTGTGTATATGCAACTGGATTTGCTGAGTCTACAGTCTGTGTAAACTTTTTTCACAAGGGACAGTGATGGACATTCTAGTGGTTTTCTTTGGCACAAGAAAAAAGCAGCTATGGGGTGACCTGTTTGCTGTGATGCTGGAAATCCAATTACCTGATTCTTCTTCTTCTTGAAACAAAAGGAAGAGAAGATGAAATACAAGAAAAACACTGAGCCAAAATCTGACTGACTAGACAGGCTTCAAAAATAAAAACAGCATACAGTGCATATGACCTGGGTCGACTTAGCAGCCTAGCTCATGTTTGAAAAAATCTAGCTCCGTGTGGACTTGAACCCATGGAGTTTGAATCTGCAGGCGGGTGTCTAGCTTCACCAGCAGCAGTCTGATTATATATCTATTCTGACTTTCCAGTATCAGTGAGCCAAAGCAGATGTGGTAAACTCTTAGGAAGAAACTTAACGCGCATTCATGAATATTCTAAATTTTTTTATGTAGAGTGAACACTGCAGAAGAAAATGTAGATCATTACAATCTGGCAAGTATGGTGCAGTGAGAAATGACCTGATGGTTCTGTCAACACTTGGTGACCCAAGGACACACAGTGTCCAGGGATAACAGACAGTATGCAATCAACCTTACAGGATTACATATGCATTTCAAAGCACTTCTTGTACTACTCACCATATTCAACACCTCCAAATATAAATATGCAAGCAAACACGAGGTACATCAAACGCTTCCTAACTTTCAGACTAGCCATCTGTTTGCCTGTGGTAGACTTCACTGGAGGACAGGGTTTGAATTCATCCTTCTAGCTGTCAATGCCATAAACACTTATTCATTATTCTCTTGCCACCTAACTTTTGCTAACTGATCTGCAGCACCTAGAAAACAAAAAAACCATGAAGAAAGAAAGACAAACAGAATTAATTATATAGAGTATTATTTAAAATGGTGGACACACTTTAATTCATGTATAATAATTAGTTGTGTATCCGTTACAGGACGTTGCAGATTCAACCCCAGCACTTTCTGGCTGTTCTGGTTTTCCTAGGCAAATTTATGTCTAGTAGTTTGCCACTGCTTTCTGGGTGGTCGGCTCTCAGGACCACTGTCAAAACCAGCGCAAGACAAACCGTCTGCAGCAGGGATCGAACCAGGCACCCCAGCATTACGAAGCGCATTCGCAACGCCTAACTTTGTTGAATATACATTACAGCTTTTATATATATATATATATATATATATATATATATATATATATATATATATATATATATATATATATATATATATATATATATATATATATATATATATATATATATATATATATATATATATATATATATAACAAGAGAGAGGGGAAGGTATAAAGTCCACAGAGTTACAAAATAGGTTTTGCAAATTAGTAACAGTCTACAAGCACTTCTAATGTGTTATTTAACCAAAGACAAAAAAACAAATGTTAAAAAAAAATTTAAATAATGAATAAGAAGCACTGACTGCATTTGTGTGGTTAATGTTTCCATTTACGGTTCAGCTTAGCTATTATAATAAGCAATATTTAATATGTAGCCTAAAATAACAGATAACTGAAATGTAAATTTAAATGTTATTTAGAATTTGGAAAGAAAAAAGATAATAAATAAAGTATTAAAACAAGCCAGAATATTTATGTGTTGAATAATGACTAAATCTGAAATGAAATTAACAAATGTAACACAATTTACGGACACTGTTATTATATGTGTAAAGGTGTCAGAGAGGTGTGGCAAAGTAGCGTTAAGGACCCTTTTCCACCCCTCCAGGCGTATGGGGCATGTGGGGCCAGACCTAAATTATATAGACCAATCGGCACTTGATGGGTGATAGGTCAGCATTATGCCAGCTACCTTTACTTCCCAGTTCTGGATCTGGTACCCATTTAAAGCTGGGTCAAGCTGAGAGCCATGATCATTTCTAAAAAAAAAAAAAAAAGTCTGGCTCTATTAGAACCTGACCCACGACCTTCTAAGCCGCAGGCAAGCTTCTAGCCACTACACCAGAGCGGCTCCCGAGTATGATGTGGTACTATTATTATTATTATTATATAGCAACAGTTTTAGTGTTATTTTTGTCCCACTTGTTTTCATTTATAGCATTACTATAATAATTATATGACTATAAATAAAAAAAAATATATTATTGAAATTAGGGACATAAATTATATTACACAAGGGGAAGTCAATAAGTAAGTCACAAATTGTTATGGGTTGGCAGGAAAATGTAGTTGGTGGTTTCTTAAGGTGTCATTAAGTGACAGCAGCATCAAACTTCATGTCCCCCTGCATTAGGTGGTACTAAGTGTTGCATGCACATTCGCAACACAGAAACAAAATGGCAACTGTACTTATGGAGTGTACCCTGAAAGAACAAGTGGCTGTTAAGCTGTTTGTTTGTTTTTGGGTGGGTGGGGTGGGGGGAGGCGCCTGCAAATGACATTCATAAGGAAATGCTTCCTGTTTATGCTGACAAATGTTTATCCTGTAAAACGATCCATTGAGAGCTAGCCTTGGCAGGGGATATTTCGTGAATGATGCAGAAGTTGAATGTGAAGTAAAAATGTGGTTTAGAAAACAGAGCACGCAGTTCTATGCAGCAGGTTCGGGTGGACTGATAAAATGATGGGACAAGTGCATCAATGTTGGTGGAAATTATGTTGAAACATAAAGGCGCAGTGTATGTGTAAAAAAAATTAATGGTTTTCAAGTTTTTATCAACGATAGTGTTGTTTTATTAAACAACCATTTATGACTTACTTACTGACTTAACCTCATAAAAAGACTGATGCTTGTACCATCAGCACTGGAACTCTTCACTGGCTGCTGAAGATTAGGACAATGCTTTTATGGGAATACCTCAAGGGCTGTGATATTGGTTCTTATCTCGAATGAACAAATTAACCCGACTTCAGAACGATTTCTTCAATTTTTAAAGTTTGGGGAAAAAACGTACCCACTGTGGAAGGGACGAGGAAAATCCAACATTACCAACTTGATGGAAAATCCAACATTACCAACTTGACGGTTCTTGACCAGGGCTGCCAATGATGGGTTTTTACCAATAGATCTGGGTTTTTCTTTGACCCTTGGGTTTACAATATATATCCTTATATAAAGGTGGGTACATGTTTCCTTTCGTAACTCTTACATTTGTACTTGTTTTCAATCTTAGGTTTTTTGTTTATTGTTCTTTGCTTTTGTATTGCTGGTTTTTTTTTTGGCCAGCTTAGTTTGGGATTTTATTAAAATCACATTGGCAGCCCTGTTTAACAGGTTAATAATAATAATATAAGCTAAGCAGATGCTCTGGCAGGCAGTGTGACTAACAACAATGCATCCCTCTATGGAGAGAAGAGACATCATCAAAGGAGAGACTAAGCGCTGTGAGGCTTTCAGTTTCGTGGAAAATCATTTTTCACTGAATAGACTAAAGAAGGCTGCACACCCTGGGTGTAGCAACTCGGGCCGCGAGACAGGAAAGTCGTGCAGGAGCCACCAGTCGTACATCAACCAGAAAAGAGTTGGAGTTGCTAGCCTAAAGACACTTGGAGACATCCTCAGATGGAGAACGAAGCACTTATCCGATGTTCGATGATGTAAATAAAGAAGATGATCATGATCATCAAAAATGAACAGTGAACAATCATTCAAATTCAATTCATCTTCATTAAATTAAAATTTCATGATTTAAATTATAATACTAGGGATACTAGTGAAGTTTTATATTATGGGTTTTTACTTATGAAACCATGACAGCTAGATAGCTATGGTTAATAGGCTCTCCTTTGAACTTCTACTCGATATTATGGCGGCCAAGCAAATAGCCTAACAAGGCCTCAGTTGTGTGTAAAATGCAGACTTTCTGCCAAGGAACAAATTGCAGCAAAACTAGGATCGGCTCTTAATAACAAAACAAACGCTCTAACAGGGTCTCAGCAATCTGTTAATTGCGGACCTGTTTCTGTGACTATGCCGCACTGCCAACGGTATCCCGGAAGTATGCAATTGACATGTGACTGAGGCCCTGTTAGGGTACACAGACAATGTCTCATAGTACCGTATTTATAGTGTAAGAGAAGGAAAGTGCTCTAAACAAAGAGGTAGTAGAATTTTTTTGTGAAATGTTGTCCTTGTGAAATTAACACCTGCTGAATTCTTCTTTTCCACTAACTATAACAAAATCAAACAAACACTTATCATCAAATTCAGAATGTACACTCATTTCTCTTTTAAAAAATATATACTGTTTTAGGGATAAGAAGTATATTACAATCTCTACAGCCTTTCTTGTACACCTACCCCTCTGCCATTTTTGTAAAGGGAAATTATTGTGGGCCAAGTCTGTCAAAATTCATGGGCCTGAAAGAGTTAGGGTATATCTTCGGCCTGGATAATTTGGGACTGTTATTTAAAAGATAGCCTTTTATTAAATAATTGGAGTTTCGGCTATCCTTCAAATAACGGGCACATATTATGGCGGCCAAAAACAAGGCCTCAGTCACGTGCAGGAGATGCGGAAGCTGCTGCTCGTGAGTCCCAGCCATCTAGTTTATCCCCAATCCACGCCGCATGAGCGTCGTGGGGGATACTCTCGGCGGTGGCGGTAGTCGCCAGAAAACTGCAAATAAGGTTGCCAGAAATGAGCAATTAACACGTGACTGAGGCCCTGTTAGGGTGTTTGGCGCTTCTTTGAATCGTTCCCCAAAATGGCGGCTTTAATATGATGGCGTTCAAAAGGGAGCTAAATTGGCCAATTTCTGGCCATAAAATATCCTAAAATATCCCAATGCGGGTCAGTTCTATAAAAAATATATGTGCCGGCTGCGGATAACGAAACAAATGGCTCTGACAGGGTCTCGGTGATACGGCGTTAATTGCCGACCTGCGTCTGCGAGTGTGCCTCACCGCCGAGAGTATCCCCCGCGCCGCTACATGGGGGCTAAACTAGATGGCTGGGACTCACGAGCGGCATCTCCTGCAACTTCCTCCAATTACTGTACTCGTGAGGGCTCTCCTTGCAGATCCGGACGAGGGTTGGATGCGGGCTGGACGACTTAGTTCAGTTTAGTGGGAGTTCTCTCCCTTGGCCGCACTCGAAACAGTGAGCGGAAAAGTCATGAAACAAATGACATACTTACCTATCATCATACGGTTGCGTGTAAGGTTGCGTTTAGGGTTGCGTAGTCATCATACGGTTGCTTGTAGAGTTGCGTAGTCATCATACGGTTGCCTGAAGGGTTGCGTAGTCCATCATGCTGTTGCGTGTAGGGCTGCGTATGGTTTGGGTTAGGGGGGTTGGTTAGGGGTACGGTTAGGGTTAGCGTTAGGGATAGGGTTGAGGGGAAGGGTTAGGGTTAGGGGTAGGGTTAGGGGTTAGGTTTAGCGTTAGGTGTAGCGTTAGATGTGACAATTTTGACGACGCAGGAATTCACAATAATCGCGCACTGTCACATACACACCCAAAAAGTCGACGGACTGTGGATGCTACTGACACGGTCAGGTCGCCACCGGTTGGGCACCAGCTGCGCGCTATTGTGGTCATATTTGACAGACTTCCAGTGGCGCCACTCCCACAAGCATCAAATTGTCGGCCAGTATTTGGAACTCCTACGTCAAAATTGTCACATCTAACCCTACCCCTAACCCTAACCCTAACCCCGAATCCACACCGTACGCAGCCCTACACGCAAACGTATGATGATAGGTATAACCCTAC